GTGAATTTAATAGTTTTTATTTTAAATTATTCAAACAAACACCTAACAGAGTGAAAGCAATACTGATAGCAAACCACGGGACAGGACAACCTGCAACGAGATTCTGTTACATATTTAATACCTGATGTAGCAATTGCACTACTTTGAATGTACCCTATTGAATCAGTCATAAATATAGTAAGCCTTTGGTGGAAGAGTGATGAAATAAGAATGAGATAAATACAAATATATTTTAAACTAGCGTTGCTCGCGGCTTCGCCCGCGTTCAGATAACCAAAAACCAAATTCTTAAATTTTACATATTAGTATACTCTTACATTGCAGTTTTTGTATTTTTTCTCAGAAATAAGATATTTTCCTGCGGTAAAAAGTATCCTATATGTTGACTCGGATAACCAGCTATCACCATACCAAATTTCTTAAAAATCCCTCCAGTGGTTTTGCTGTAATGCGGTAACAGCCAGACAGACAGGCAGACAGACAGACAAAAATTCTAAAAACTATAGATCCGGCCTCTGTATCGATAATAATGTTTATTTCAATAAGATTATATTATATTATTTCAGACAGACAGACAAAAGATTAAAAAATTGCATTTTTTTTTCATGAGTACCCTACATAATGTCATATGCATTTAGTAAAAAAATTTATTTTGATATTACAAACAGACACTTCAATTTTATTTATCTGCATGAATTAAAATATTTGAAAACCATAACAAAATATAAAATAATGTAATCAAATCCATAATAACTACATTTTTTTACTCTCACACACTTTTAATAAGCAAAGAGCTTAGTTAAAATTTTAAGAACACGAAGTCGATATTATCGACAGTAAAAGTAACAGTTAAGTTAATTGAGACCGACATTGGTATTGAGAGTTTTTTCTTTTCTGATATGAAACTTCTATACTAAGATCAAAATATCATTTGTAGTATATAAAAGAATAATATTTATTTATATTGTGTTATAAATGTCTGTGCTTTATAATAGATTATCTTCTTTCACTCGCTGCATTAATTTTATAATAAATAAAAGTACGAGTATGTTTCGTGCCATTTTAACTTGTCTGTTGAAATTTTCTTTGATTTATATAACAGTATTTGTATATATTATATAATAAATTATGTTGTTAATGTATAATTGTAAGCAATAATTATACTTTATAATATATTTTAGTTGTGAATAAATTAGCATTGACTTTTATTCTTAAATATTATGAAACAATGGTCAAAGATAAAGGGCAACCGCCTCGGAAAGTCACAAAAAGTAAATGAATTGAAGCCTTCATAATATCCAATTATATCAAGAGGCGCTCCTTAATCTTACATTTTGTAGCCGCGACATGATATACGCCGCGAGATAAAATCTACTTGAAAATAAATGATAAAAATTTCGTTGGTTAAAAGTTAAATTGGTTGATTTACCAATATCACGTTTAACCGATGACCTTCGTGGAAAAGCTTGGCAAGATTAAAACTCAACCCAGACTATATACAAATCGCAACTATATATATATACTAGCGGACCCGACAGACGTTGTCCTGTCTACACGTCTTTAATTTGAAAATTTCAAACTTTTTTTAATAATTTTTTTGATGAAAATTATTATTCAAATTGTGAATCTAAACCATTCCCAGATCCCCTTGAACACACACAAAAAATTTCATCAAAATCGGTCCAGTCGTTTGAGAGAAGTTCAGTGACATACACACTCACAGAAGAATTATATATATAAAGATATATATCATAAATAATAAATATATCATGTTTATAAAAAGTAAAACCAGTGCCGAGCCCCGGCTTCGATAAGTTTGTCGCTGGAAAAATATTAAAAATATTCCCTTACCCTTTTTATTAGATACTTCAAGTTAAAAATTGGAAAAAAAACCTATACTGTTAATATTATTATTATTTTTTTGTTTATTTATACTAACTTAGGAACTGTACCTAAAACAAAATTACCATTAAAAAGATGAAAAAAAAACATTCTTAATAAAAAAGATTTCTCGTGTACTCCATTTTGTTAATATTATAAGTAACCTTTAATCGGTCACTTGCAAAAATTAAGATTATTTCTTAAAAAAATAATTGTCTGTTGTCTGCGCAACCTCTTTATACACATTCACAGTTAAGAAGCCAGAAGGGAAGTGTGCAGTACGGTTATTACTTGCACTTAAGCTCAGTACTCAAAGTTGGTTTTACTTATAAATATATTAAAACTTCCCATAATATTATATATTTCCCATATATTTTTTAACAATGATATAACATTGAAGAATTCCTAATAACTTATTTAAACTGTATTCTACAATAAACTTAAAAACGTATAATATATTATTTAATAGAATAATAAAAATAAATATTCTTTAAACTCTATTTTAAAAAGTGATGAAAATCATTATCTTATATTTTCCTTAAAAAAGTCATATTTATGATTTCAGCGTTTTTAGCAATATTAAACATTAATAATAAATATATTATTTTTTCCTCATATTATATGTAAGTCATAGATAACACTTAAGTATTCTATCACATTAGTTCATATATTTTATTAGGTATTAAAAATAATAAAAAATATATCATAATTGTACCCACATCTTTACATATTACACAACGACTTAGTAGAGCAATCGGTTCGGTGAGTACTCGGTGCAACACAGAGCGCTACTTTCTTGCCAGATCGCATGCCTCCGACGAGTTAATACTGACCAATACATCCTTAATATATTTTATACTAACGTGTATTGAGCTAAAATTAAATACAAATACATATCATAATTCTCATACAAGTTCGCTGCTCATCGTTTTTACTATCTTTATTATAGGGAATATATCTATAGGAAATCAACCTAGGGACGAACCCGAGCAAAGCGAGGGTAAGTCGCTAGTATTACATATTATATTGATTCCCTATACAAACTTTCATCCCCATTTTCACCCCCTTAAGGGATGATTTTCGGGATAAAAAGTATCCTATGTCCTTTCCATGGTCCGAAACTATCTTCTTAGCAAATTTCATCTAAATTGGTTCAGTAGATCCAAAGATTACCCCCTACAACCTCACAATCTCACAAACTTTACCTCTATAATATTAGTATAGATAAGTAATAGTTACATTTTCATATTAAATTTACGATTATAGCAGAAACATTTTAAAAAAATATATTAGTATCACGAAATATTAATATTAGGAAAGAATGGTTATTCAGAAGAACGGACGCTAGTTTTTGCTCGCATTTCAAGGGGATGGGACAGAGCCTATACTCGCCTTGATGCAACCTATGTCCTTGACAAACATCGAAGTCTGTTCAGGGGTTTAAGTCTAAAAAACTAACAAAGAGACAAAGTTACTTTTATATTTAGCGTTTTTTTACATTTAGATAGCATGTAAAAAGCATTAATCGATTTAGGCTACTTTTTTACTATAATAAAGTGTTGTTTCTACACCACTGCAACGAAACGTTATCTACCGAGTACTGCTTATCATAGTACTATCAAAGACAAAACATAAGAACAAATATGATTTCTTTCTGTCAAAGAAGCAAGTTAAAGATCATGTAATTTTAATATTAATAAAGGTGTCAAAATGTGTTATTTAATAAAAATGTGCACATTAAAATGTAAGAAGTAAAGAAAAGCTAAAAAGTTACGTTAAAATAATAATAGGTGCAATTCCTAAAAATTTGGCTGCCTTTTTAAATAGACTTAATTGCTTAATTATTTTCTAGTTGACCCAATATACATAGAAATATTTATAGTTAACTAGCATTGCCCGCGGCTCCGCCCGTGTTCAGATGACCAAAAACCAAATTTTTAAGTTTTACATATTAGTATACTCTTACATTACAGTTTTTGTATTTTTTTCAGAAATGAGACATTTTCCCGCGGTAAAAAGTATCCTATATGTTGACCCGGATAACCAGATCACCTTACCAAATTTCATCAAAATCCCTCCAGTGGTTTTACTGTGATGCAGTAACAGATAGACAGACAGACAGATAGACAGACAGACAGACAGACAGACAGACAGACAGACAGACAGACAGACAGACAGACAGACAGACAGACAGACAGACAGACAGACAGACAGACAGACAGACAGACAGACAGACAGACAGACAGACAGACAGACAGACAGACAGACAGACAGACAGACAGACAGACAGACAGACAGACAGACAGACAGACAGACAGACAGACAGACAGACAGACAGACAGACGAAAAATCTAAAAACTATAGTATCGACCTCCGTATCGATAATAGTGTTTATTTCAATAAGATTTCCCAAAAAATATTTAATGTACAGATTAGGCTTAGTTAAAATTTTATTATATGTATAGATAATAATTTTAATCGCAGTAGTGAGAATTAGCGTTAGTTCGTTACGCGACTTTATACGCACGATTTGCAAGAACCTCCTTCAGATTTATGGAGACTTCATAGAAACTAACTACTTGATTTACAGACCAAAAAAGTGTTATTATTATTCTAATCTTTTCGTTTAGACAAAAAAATCTATACAAACATTTATAATAGCAATTCAAAAAACTAGAAATATAATAGTACATAAATTATTCACCAGGATAGCTTAACAACTCCTTATCAATTTTAGTGTATAACAAGGTAATTTTATAAAGCATCTTGTGAATTACTAAAGATTAATTTATTATACGGGAAAGCATGCAAGGGCTCGATATAACCTTGAGGTCGAAATCTGTCAATGTGACGTAACACAAAGGTGACAGTGCGTGGTGTCACATGTTGGGCCGGTTTGGTATCCGATGACATGGCTTCAACCCGGTATAAAAACTACCACCCGACCTACGTCCCTATCATACAAGCCAAGTCAATCAATACAGCATCAACATGTACTTCAAAGTAAGATTGAAAACATTAAAAATTAAAATATACGTAAATTATTACAATTAACCAATATTTTAGAAGATTTTATTTTACGAGAATTTTATTAAGATTAACTATACGTTTAATTGCAGATTGCAGTAGTTAGCATTCTGGTGGCGGCATGCCATGCAGGCCTAGTTGAAGAGGGACAAGGTCATGCCGTATCATCCCAGAGCATTGTCCGCCACGACCAGCCCACTAATGGTGCTACACACTATGCCCCCATTGTAGCCCATGCCGCTCCAGTGTTAACCCATGCCGCACCTATTGTTCACCATGCTGCTCCTCTGATCCACTCTGGCCCCATCGTTCAACATGTAGCCCCCATAGCTCATGCAGCGCCCGTTCTCACTCACGCTGAACAAATCGAAGACCACGTGAGTATTTACTATGCCACTCCAAACAAATAGGGTAATCTGTGTAACAAGTATAACAACTTTCAAACTCAATCGGGAAGTTTCGTTGTTTATTTCTAACTAAACTATTAGATAAAAGCGTTCATATAAATTTCAAGCACCTATTTACACTTTATATCTTAGTATAAACAGGTAGGTTTGTATCACCGCATGTTATTTTGTTCAAAAAGATTTTTAGTTTATACAATTTAATAATAAATAATTAATATGAAGTTCAACACAGCATAATATTCACATAATATTTAGAATACTATGTGCTCGATTTAGCTTAACAATGAAAGTGAAAGTCTAACTAAGTATAGCAATATGATTAAAATATGTTCCATTAAAATAACCCAATTAAATATTTATTAAGTAATGTCATTACAAGACTATAGAACGTTTTGTAATGACAGCATCGACTATCTGTCATGATATGATTGCTATTAATGTCTGTTTGTTGAATAAAATTATACATCAAAACTAACATTAGCGAGCTTAAAGTTACCTCCTTGATGATTTAGAGATTACACACACTAAATTATCAAAGTGATATTATTAAATTTACGCAAATATCTTAACTATATTTACGATATAAAATATTTAAAAATGTTTCGTGATAAAGATGTTTTTTTTTTTTTTTAGGCTCCCGCTCACTACGAGTTCTCGTACTCCGTTGACGACCCGCACACTGGTGACCACAAATCTCAACACGAGAGCCGTGAAGGTGATGTAGTTAAGGGAGAATACACTTTGGTTCAACCTGATGGTGCTGTCAGAACTGTCGAATACACAGCCGACGATCACAATGGGTAATTATTTATTAAATACAATAAAATAACAGAAAAAGTTCACTCAGATGGATTTAGAATATGTATATTTATTACGATTTTTTTCAAAACTTCACTTAAATAGTTTTTAAAGTGGACTGCGTTTTTAGGTCCATATAGTATATACATATATAATGAATAACGCAAATATGGCAATCTATTAAAATATGTAACTGATGAGTGTTATTCTACGCTACTATTATAAAGAAGAAAGATTAATTGTATTTTGTATGTTTGTAATGAATAAACTCAAAAACTACTCGACCGATTTAGATTAAATTTGGTAAAAAGATAGTTTGAAACCTTGGGAAGGACATAGGATATTTTTTATTCCGAAAATCGCCCTTTAAGGGGGTGAAAATGTGGATGAAAGTTTATATAGGAAATCAACTTGGGGACGAACTTGAGCGAAATGACAGTGAGTCGCTAGTAATTAAAATGACAGACTAAAGCATTTATTAGCATAATATTATTTATAAGTATTACTTAAGAGAAAATTTACTACATAAGAAGTCAACGTAATCTATTGAATATGCGCGTGGTGAACGCTGCAACTTGTAATGTAAACAGAAGTAAAAATCATAAACAGTAATGCTTACACGCGATCTTTAATATGGAACGCGAATGTGATCCATTACCACTAGTTTGAACTTGCTGCAAGTGCGTAAAATTGCGTAAGAAAACTCATGAGCTAAGTATAGATATATACACTACACTATAGCTAGCGAAACTAACTATATAACACTTAGAATCCGTGATTTATCTTAAATAAAAGTTGTTACACTCAATGATTTCGATAAAATCGTTCCACATTTAGTTTGAAGTATAACATTTATTTCAATTGTACCAAACGATCGTTTCGCAATTCAAATGTAACCCAAACGCTTATGACTTTAACAATATAATTGCGTATTATATAAGAATATAATATATTAGGTTGATCTACATACTTAACGTTCACTAACAAATAAAGATATTAAAACTAATATTCACATTTCAGTTTCAACGCTGTCGTACATAACTCTGCCCCATCAGCCCATGCTGCGCCAGCTCTGGCAGACCATTCTGCCCCAGTGGTCCATGCCACCCCAGTGGTCCACGCCGCCCCCGTGGTTCATGCCCCATTAGTTCACGCAGCCCCATTGGTTCACGGTACACCCGTGATCCACGCCACACCTATCTTAGCTCACCATTAAACTTTACTCTATTCGCTCTACTGTAATTCCTATTAGAAATATATTGTTACTATTTATAATTAAAATATTTTTTTATTTATTATCAATACCGTACATAATAATTGAATTTACAAAATATTTTTATAGATTTTATAGAAATTATCAAATATATACCTATATAGATCGAATGCCTTATCTTTTAAAATTAGATACTATGTTACGTTTTGTTTTGCGCTAGAAAGATAAAATCTCTCAAAGGAAACAGTATTCCTAAATCTACTGATGAAACATTCAGTCCCTATTGTCTTAGACCTCTATCTAACCGTGTATACATACTTATTACATTACTTTACGCAACTGAGACACATACGATGCAATACAAAATAATGTGGAGAAAAGTGTGTCATTGCCACATTTTGATTTCAGATCAAATATGTGCAATTTTAAGTAATTTTTGTACTTAATTTGGATGTTTCTCAAGTAAAAACATTCTATAATTAATTTGAAACCTCTTTTATAAACAGATAATCGGGCTGTACACGTAATCGTTCGATAACAAAGTACATTTTAAATGCTCTATCACTATAAAATAAAATATACCTAGACAAATAGTACGTTTTGAGTTATTTGAATATGGTAAATTTGTATATATGTATGTATGTATGTATGTATCTATTAAGCCCTTTTTAATGTCGCACTGCTGGGCACTGATCTCCCTCTATACGAGGAGATCAGGCCATAGTCCACCACGGTGACCAAGTTGTTGGATATGATTCGCACATGAAAATATCAGAGGTGTGAGACCAGGAATTTAAACCAGCTTCACTCGGTTTCCCGAGCGAATGCGTTACCACTCATATATTTTTATAATTATATCAACATCTTTATAATTATAAGAATATATTGCAGAATGTTTCTATACCTATAGTGATGAAACTTGGGTGTTTCTGTGAAGGAGAAGTTTGTTGTAGGCAGTATATGGTATTTGTTCATATCTAAAAACAATCGAGTACAATGTATATCTGACTCGCACACCAAGGGTTCCGTAGCGTAAAATATTTAATTTATTTTATGTCTTAACAAATGTTTTAACTTTATTTGTAACAATAAAATAAAATATTTACATATTTTTAAAATTAATTTAATAGTGCAAAATAAAATTAGGTAATGCAAATATCTCATATACTCCTTAAAGTATGTTTTTTTTTTTTTTATGGGACTAAGGGGGCAAACGGGCAGGAGGCTCACCTGATGAAAAGTGATCACCGCCGCCCATGGACATCTGCAACACCGCAGGGCTTGCAGACGCGTTGCCGGCCTTTAAGAAAGGAATACGCTCTCTTCTTGAAGGTGGCCAGGTCGTAGCGGTTCGGAAAGACCGCCGGCTATAGCTGGTTCCACAGAGTGGTTGTGCGGGACAGAAAATGCCTTAAAAATCGCACTGTTGTGGAACGCTGGACATCGAGATGGTTGGATGGAATTTACTATTTTGGCGCGATGTCCGATGGTGAAATTCAGCAGCCGGGATCAGTCCGAACAATTCCTCGGAACACTCCCCGTGATAGATGCGGTAGAAGATGCAGAGTGATCCAACATCTCTCCGCAGAGCTAAAGGATCAAGCCGATCGGAGAGAGCTTGATCGTCGATAACTCGAATCGCCCTACGTTGAATGCGGTCAAATGGAAGTAGCTGGTACTGGGGAGCTCCCGCCCAAAGATGAGAACAGTACTCCATGTGGGGCCGAATTTGCGCCTTATAAAGAATAAGACGCTGACGCGACGTGAAGTACTGTCTCGCCTTGCTGAGCACACCAAGCTTCTTTGAGGCTAGTTTGGCCTTACCTTCCAATTGACCACGGAACTGGACGTTGCTCGAGATGTCGACGCCAAGTATTCCAATACTGGCTGTGGGAGACAGAGGAGTGTCCTCAAATTGAGGAGCTACGATAAATGGCGACTTTTTAGCGGTTAACGCGCAAACTTGTGTCTTTTTGGGGTTGAATTGGACTAAGTTTAGTCGACCCCAATCCGAGACTTTGGTTAACAGAGATTCGACTTCAGACACAAGTTTGTTCCGGCTCTCGTCGACGTATTCCCGAGAAATATTAGCGCGGCCAGTGTACAGCGCATCCACAGTGCTATCGTCTGCATAGCAATGAATGTTGCTAATTTGCAACATGTCATTGATATGCAGAAGAAACAGAGTAGGAGACAGTACACAGCCTTGTGGAACACCAGCATTGACATATTTAGGATCAGAGCAAGCACCGTCGACAACGACCTTAATGCTCCGATCTGCCAAAAAGCTGGTGATCCAGTTGCAAAATTTCTCGGGGAGCCCATAGGAAGGTAGCTTCGAAAGAAGCGCTTTGTGCCATACCCGATCAAAGGCCTTCGCTATGTCCAGACTGGCTGCAAGCGCCTCCCCCTTGGTCTCAACTGCTTCTGCCCATCTATGTGTCAGGTAAGTTAGAAGATCACCGGCTGAGCGACCTCGACGGAAGCCGTACTGGGGGTCGCTAATCAGCCGGTGCTCTTCTAGGTACCGCAGGAGCTGGCAGTTGATAATGGACTCCATTATCTTAGAGAACAAGGAGGTAATGGCTATAGGCCTGTAATTGGACGGATCCGAGCGGTTGTCTTTTTTTGGGATCGGGTGCACTAAAGCGGCCTTCCAGGATTTCGGGACTACGCCTGATGCATAGGAGTACCGGAAAAGACGCGTTAAGACCGGTGCCAACTCCGGAGCACATGTCTTCAACACGATCGGAGGGATGCCATCGGGCCCACTCGACTTATGAATGTCCAAGGAAAGAAGTGCTTTGCGAACTGCACTTTGCCGGAACTGAACTTCCGGCATCGTAGTATCACACCGCGGGATTATCGGTGGTGAGTTTCCTTGGTCATTCAGAGTCGAATTGGTTCTCTACAAAATAATATTCTAAGTATTTTGGAAGCTCTTTTTTTAGAATTTTGCGCCTACACAATGCTTTACGACTATAGAAGCATATAATCGGCAACTATTGACTTTAAAAAATAAGTGGGTCAGAGACACCTATTTTTAATTTTTAAGATTTATCCGAAACCCCCACACGCTTAAATAATCTCATTTTTTACTCTTATTTTTTATCTTTCTTAATTTACACTGGGAAATTTTCTAGCGTTTCGCATGATACACCTATTAAATAATCAAATTTAAGTCATGTATGTATCTCCAATAGCCTCCGAGTAAAATGGCTGTGACATACGTATAGACGGACAAACGGATGTGATGAAATTGTAAGGGCTCGTTGTTTATGCCTATGTCTATGGAATGTCTATGGAATCCTAAAAAGTATAAAAATAACATATTAAAGTTTTCTTTATAAGAAGAAAAACATTGAATAAGAATACAAATCTATATCTATATAATACATACTAATATTATAAAGGGAAAGATTTTATTTTTTGTTTGTTTGTACCGAATACGCTCCGAAACTACTGAACTGATTTAGATGAAATTTGGTAAGAAGATAGTTTGAAACCCTGGGAAGAACATCGTTTCTATCCCGGAAATCATCTCTAAGAGGGTAAAAATGGGGATAAGCCTTTCTATGTGCAAGGAACCTAGGGACGAACCCGAGCGAATCGAGGGTAAGTCGTTACTCGCTAGTATATAATATATTCATAAATTACGCTTTCAAAATCCAAAATTTAATAGAACATTAAATTTAATTACGTGAAAACATATTATTATATAAGTACAAGTGCCATTAATATAATCTCACTGAATAGTTTATCTTTAATTTTATGCAATTTTTGTGAAAAAAAATCAATTGCAGTTTTTTGGAAAGTAAAAAATTACAATATTTCACGCAAGCTTTATTTCTATAATCAAAAAGTAAAACTGTAATAAATCGTTATATGATTATAAACTTGACTGATCTTATAATATAATAGCTATAATTAAAAACATTATGAGCAACCAGAATGAAACTCGCACAATAATATTATTTTTAAGATTACACGCATCATGTGGAGAATTAGAGCGTTATTTTATAAAGTACTCGTAACGTAAAAGACGAAATAATAGCAGTGTGTCGGCCTTGATTTGCAAATGCAACAGTTAAACTCTGTTCTAAGGTCAAACACTTATATTTTTAGACTGATTTTGTGACAGTTTTTTGTTAATTAATATAAAGAAATTTTGGTTAAAACTTAATTTACACTAAATTTATTTTATCTAATCTAATAGCTTTCTTAAATTTTAAAAATTTTTAAACCATAGCTCCATTCTTTCACAGAAACTATTTAGTTTTCAAAAGTACTTATAATTGTGTAAAACTGTTGTATTAGACTTATCTAATTGTATAAAGTTTATTTCATTTCATTTTAATGTACAAAAATAATAGGTGTAAAGAAAAAATCGTCGTCACGTTAACCCTTTATTGCGTAAAAGAAAAAAAAACAAAAGAGTAAACATAATTACGTATATTATGTAACAAAGAAACACACTTATAGACTCATGGACTCTACATCCCATACTTTAGTCAATAGAAGCGTTGAGCCACATAAAAAAATACGAAAATACAAATATTAGGTTAATAAACTCGTAATATTTAATAGTATTATTACTAAAAGCTATTAAATTAAATAATCTTTCATTATCATTACATCTATACATATAATAAAAATGTAACTAAGCCGAATCTGTACATTAGACCTTTTTCGGAAAATCTTTTGAAATAAACATTATTATAGATACAGAGGCCGAATCTATAGCTTTTAGAATTTTTGTCTGTCTATCTGTCCGTGCGTCCGTCCGTCCGTCCGTCTGTCTGTCTGCCTGTTACCGCATAACAGAAAAATCATTTAGAGGGATTTTGATGAAATTTGGTATGGTGATAGCTGGTTCCCGGGTCAACATATAGGTTACTTTTTACCGCGGGAAAATATCTCATTTTTGAGAAAAATACAAAAACTGCATTGTAAGAGTATACTAATATGTAAAACCTAAGCATTTGGATTTTTGGTCATCTGAACGCGGGCGGAGCCGTGAGCAATGCTAGTAAACTATAAATAAAATCTTAATCCGTACCATATTTTAGTATTGTTAAAATCTATAACTTCTCGAGCTGGTCTGGTATCTATGTCGCAACAGTACTACCACAGGATGCGTTTTGTCGTTGAACCAAATTTCATCTAAATCCGCACAAGCTACTAGATTGAGAAACGCACATAAACAAGTGGACATTTGTAACATCCGGACAATTATAATTGTACGACAGTATAACAACATACAGTCAAGTTTGTTATTATGAACCTCACCTTTGGAAATAACCTTATAAATCATTATTATGGTATATTTTAATACAAATTTATTAAAATATTTTTTTTATTGAAATAATATTTCTTCATTAAAATCCAACTTTTTTTACTAAATAATAAAGTTTACATACATATTTATTCTTTCTGTCTTACCTTAAATGTACGCTGATGAAAATTTTATCAACTAATTTAGAACTCATGCATCAAAGGTAATATATAATAAATAGCAATTACATATATATACATATATATATATATATATATATATATACTAGCATTACCCACGGCTCCGCCCGCGTTCAGATGACCAAATATACACAAATATACAGAATAGTATACTCTTAAATTGCAGTTTTAGCATTTTTCTCAAAAATGAGATATTTTCCTACGGTAAAAAGTATCCTATATGTTGACCCGGATAACAGCTATCACCATACCAAATTTCATCAAAATCCCTCTAGCGGTTTTTCTGTGATTTTATATTTGTGTTTATTTCTATAAGATTTTCCAAAAAATATTTAATGTACAGATTCAGCTTAGTTACAATTTTATTATATGTATAGATTAATTTACACTAATACTATACTTGTGTTTTACCATATTCTATATTTACAATGGGATTTAATAACTTGAAAATAAATGCACCCTGATAGATGTTTCCTATATACATATGTAGGTACAATATGTAGGTATTTGTTATATATTAAGGTAGCCGCCATAACAAATTCTGTGAAATAGGTCTATACTCGTACATAGGATTTCCCGCTGCACGGATCAAGAGTATTTTTTACTGATAATTCATTTTCCCCGGAAATATAAATGTTAAAATAAATAAAAATTCATAATAAAGTATTATAATGATCATATACTGAAGTCTAGATGAAATAAAAAACCATCGTGTCTCCAACAAATATGTAACCAACAACGTCGGATTCATTTCACGTGGCCTTAAAGAGAATTTCTTAATTACATTTTAGGATTAGATTTCAAACCAATCCACATGCAATATTGTCCTTATTTCTTACGTTAGACTGGTGTTTGTATGCTTTATACCATATTTCCTAGTTCCATTTTAGTTTAGATTTTGTATATCTTATAGAAGATCAAGTTGTTTGTGGTCTAAGCGATGAAGCTTGAAATATAAGCACTTATAGATGCTATTTCGACACATCGCCATCACAAATTTGTTCTCTCCATGATCACAATCTTATTTACTTAATGATGGTCACTTAAATTACCATAGATGAATGTATTAAATCGATTTATTTGATGATGGTCTGTAGATTTCGTTTGTATGGTCAATACAAAATTAATCGCTTAGGTTTTTACCTAAAGTAAATTTATCAATAATAACTAAAAAGTGTTTTTTTATATATTAAATAACTTACTTTACTAAACATACATCTACTTTTTTCAAGTATTTTTTTATGTACCTAGCAAGTTACAGCATTTCTAGTAATTTAAAAATTTCAAGTTTTGTATCTAATTTAACGAAATAATTTACTTTACCTATCTGTAGAATTTCCATTAAAAATCACTCTTTTGAAAACACAAGCTATTATTAGATTAGTGCAGGTATATGGATTTTTTTTTATTAATAATAACAGATACATTTATATTTTATAAATATATATATTTAAATAGAAGTTTATTACAAAGATCAACAACGCTCGTCCTACATCAATGCAGGAGAAAACAGCCATTAAACGTGAGGTTGATCGTTTGTGATGAACCTATTTTAGATGCTTTAGAAGTAATAAAGCGCATCGGAATGTAAATTTTAAACGAAGTTTCACATTTCTTAAAGTAAATAAGAAAAATATTTTAAATATATTGTGCTAGCAATGTGAATTTAATAAAGAAAAATTTTACAATAAAATACATCTAGTTACTCTGCTTAAATGGATGGTGCGAAATTGACTTCAACGCTAGGTAGCTAACCTTTACTTGCTGTACATATATATTAACACTTAGAGATACTTATATCAATTTTTTTTCTTTATATAGGTACATTAATATATTCATTACATGTTAAACAAATAAAAACTAAAAATCACTTTTGTTAATGTTATAACATCTTATCATAAAAAATACAAATTAATCATATCATAACAAGAATATATGGACAAGGCTATAATGAATTTCATATGATTTATATTTATTATTTACTAGCGGCTCACCCTCGCTTCACTCAGGTTTGTCGCTAGGTACGTTTTAAATAGATATAAATAGTTATTTGCCAGCGTTAGTCATATATATATTTTTTGTTAATAATATTGACAAATATTGACATTAATATTTATACGATACTAAGGTCACGCAATTTTTTGCCTTCCCGGAACCTCTCCACTAACACTTAAACTTTATGGTATGGTATTAAAGTTCTAATTGACTTTTAAGTATTATTACGAATCTTTTGTATGAGAGTATAGAAAAGTGTTGTTTTTATACTTTTTCAGGCAATTTTTTAAATTTTATCTCTGCGTAAGAACCATCCTCGTACTTCAAGGAATATTCTAAAAAAAAATTTGCGAAATCGGTTCAGCTACTCTCGAGATTTGCGCTTACCAGCACCTTCCGCGGTTCATTTTTATATTATAGATGAATTTCAAACATTCCTTGCATTGTTATCATTAAATGTCCCATACATTTGAATACATGCATAAATCCTACTCTAATGAATTGTTCACCTTGAACTATAAAATGATACATAATTTTACGTAATTGCTATATTATTATCAAACTACCGTTTTCTTGCGTAGACGGCGCGTACGACTTCGCATCTCGCTGGTAAACTAATATAAAAGTCGGTGGTTCCAGCAGTTAGTATCAGTTGTGTGTGGTCGGTGAAACGAAGCAAACCTTAATTCAAAGCAATGATCGCTAAAGTAAGTGTCTGTGCTATTATCCAGGGCTCAAGTGAAAGGATCGAACCTACCGTTGCCTAAATCATAACAAAAGATTCAGCATAGTGCTCGATCAAAATTTAAGTTTTGGACTCAAATTAAGCTCAAACTAAGCTCAAGTATTATGAAACTTTCAAAAAAATACTCACAATTTCCTTTTTGTGACTTGACTGTTTTGATAATTTCAGCTCTACGACGATTTTTACAATACAAAAAAGCTGTTGAGCAAAGTAAACAATTTCAGGAGGACTTTATGTAAAACAATTGCTTTAAAGACATAAAGTAAATTACCTTTTGTTTTAGGCCGCAGTCATCTTGTCCGTAGTGGCGGTAGCCGCCGCCGGTGTCCTGCACGGATACGGTGGTGAGAGCTATGGACACGAAGCGGTCGCATACGCGCCCGTTGCCCAACTTTCCCACTACGAAGCACAGGATGAACATGTCGACTACCACGTAAGTTTAGGATTATGGAGTTATAAAATCAACAAAAATGGTATATTTAAATATTAGTTTTCAGTAAAATATGTATCCCAAGCGTCATATGTACGCGAAATATAAAATTTGGAATTAATAAAAATTTACATTTCCAAATATTATTACAATATACAATAAAGCCTTATATAGTTTAAATTATACAATACTAAAATTTTAATTATCTTTATATTATTATAATATTAAGCTTAAAAAATTAACAATATAAAATAACAACGTGAAAACTTGCATTCACTTTTTAAAGAGTATATATATACGATTTAATTTATGTCAAAAACGTAATTCATTTCGTAATATTCACTTACGCATGCAAAATTTTCTTTACAATTAAAATCTGTATGAATAAACAAATAGTTCCTAATAAGTAAGTAGAGCAGTCGTTCCCATAAGGCTGGCGTAATACAATAGTATCTGCTAATTGATATCTTGCATAATATATTGCCGTCTCACCGATCGTTTCCGGGATACGATATCTGCGAACAATCCCTGTTAGTATAATGTTACGTCAACACGGTTCACGCTAAATAGGTCCCTAACGAATTATCTTGACCAATAACGTAATCACGCAAACTTGCTTTCATGAACTGTAATTAAACAGCTCAGTTTTAAATCTAATCATATGTTACAGCATTACAAAAGCCAGTTGATTTGATCAGCCTTAATTAGACGTGGTTATTCGGGCGCTCAATCGCATATAACCGTTAGTCTATTAATTTGTCATGTCAAGCTAAAAATAATATTAACAATCTATATAAAAAAAAGATTTTTTCTTGTGAACAATTCTAGGCTATCTAAATTATCGGCCGTATATATAGCCGTAAGGCTATCTATATAATAAACGAACAGGCCTTTGTTAAAAAGCCTTTCCTTTCGATTCAAAAGTGGGACACAATATAAAAGCAATATCGCTTGGATCTTTTAACATTGTCATAGAACTGCAATGGTACCTTATAATTCGATGTTACCGCTTACATAATAGCATCCCGATCGTGACTGAAGGACCGATAAGCTCGATTCCCAGGATATTGTGAAATTGTCTGTAGGACATAATGACTGTCATGAGGCATGCGCGAAATGGTCTGCTGTTTGCATAAACTAACTCGTACTCTCACGCTCGACTTAATAACAGATGTGGATTGTTACAGTTGACCCAAATTCAATTGCGCAAAATCAGCTGTTAATAGATAGTATATTATGATCACTTTGAAGATTATGAAGTGTAAATTGGTTCCATTTTTGTATTTTACTATTTGTTCGCTAACAAAAACTTTTTTCTAGGCTCACCCTAAATACGACTACTCTTACTCCGTATCCGACCCCCACACTGGTGACCACAAGGAACAACACGAAGTTCGTGATGGTGACATCGTGAAGGGTGAATACTCTCTGCTCCAACCCGATGGCTCTTTCCGTAAGGTCACCTACACCGCTGATGATCACAATGGGTAATATAAATTATTTATTTATAATTTCATTTATTTCTAAATTCATTAATGAATTATAATAAACTCAATTTCTCCTATACTTTATAACCTAAAAAAATAGTTTATAACTAATTAAAATTTGTTTACACATACTATATCATAAAAATCCTACCTAACCTTCAAAATATAAAAATATTTTCCCAATTTTAATTAATAATAAAATTAATTAAAAAATTATAATATAATTAAATAAAAATATAATAAAAATTAATTTTAAAGAAATTATTAACAAAATATTAATATGTTGTTACAGTTTCAACGCGATCGTCCACAACACAGCGCCCGTTCACGCCGAATACCACCACTAATTATAACTGGCGTTTAGCCTCCTTCATGTGATATTATCTGTATCTTTATACTAATAGATAGTCTTTAGTCGACAATGAATTTTTAAAATAAGACTGCGGCGAAAATAAACTTTTCGAAAATTATATCTTGTTTCAATTAAATTTTAAGATATAATACATAAAATATTAGAAAATAAGATATTACTCAAAAGAAAGAGGAAAAAGTATTTACTAGCTTAACAGATTTTAAAATATACATATTTTATATACATAAAATACTTATAAAATAGATCGAACAAAACTCTGGAGTCTCGATGGATACAAACAAGTACACCGCCCAACAATAACATTGATTCTGACGAACCGTTTGGCTCAGTTTGTAGTGATCTCACTTGCTGTGCCAGCGGTCGCGGGTTTGAGTCTCGCTGGGGGCATTCGTTTGTGTGATGAGCACGAATGCTTGTACTCCAGTCATGGGTGTTTATATTTATAATATGTATGTATTTAAAGTTATATATGTGATATTGATACACTATATCAACTATCTGGTATCCATAACACAAGCCTCGTAGCTTACCATGGAACTAGATGGTGCTGTATGTTAATGTCCCAACATATTTATATTTATTTATTGTTTTTTTTTAATAAATACTATGCAATATAATTATTTTAAAATATTAAAAAATATTAAAACATCATTTTAAAAGTTACAATAAATGGTGAATGTATAGTACCTACCTGAATGAATTTGATACGCTATTTCAACAATGTGACACTATATACACGGTGATACCGTTAGATGACACATAACACACCTGTAGCTAAAGACTGGACATTGAGGGCAAACTATAACTAAGTATATAAATACTTTCTTAGATTTACGCGAATACTTGACATTTTAAATAAACAACAATATAAACAACTATATAATACCTTAGAGACATCTAACACCTCAGTCTCTCCCGTGACCATGATTGCTGTAAAGCATTCGAAACGTCGGGAACCAAAAATCAAAATAAATTCGCGAAAAAATCCGAAAAAATAGTTTTATATAAGTATATAAACTCTAACATAAGCAGAAGACTATCAATTTAAGAAGTAACCTCGTTTTATTACGTATGTATAAATCTATCGACGACGTATGTAGATATAAGATGTTTTTTTTAGTTTTCTTTTGTTAAAAAATAAAATATGAGTAGAGAACTTTTTACCTTCATTTGAAATTTAATTTCCATTTTTTTTTAAATGATCTTTTTTTTATTCACCTAAACCGTATGAATAACCTAAAATTTTATATAGGTATTACACAATATAAATATAAATAGGTAAAGTTGAAACACATTATTGTATATACACATTACTCTTTTAATATCAGAATAACAACAAAGGTATTGAAGGATTTTAGTAACAAAACCATAGCTATATCAATACTCATGCAAGAGAATATAATATGTATTGTGTATCGACTATTGCATTATTTTAAATTACGTTTAATTTACGTTTTAAATTATCGAGTTCCATAATTATATGATAACTAGCAGAACACGCGGCTTCGCTCGCGCTAAAACTACAAAGAAATCTCTAAAAAGATAGTTTCATACAAACTTTCATCACCTATTTTAGAATGAATTTTGAAAAATGCTAAAACACGTATTTATTTAATTTTATTATAGAGCAATAATACCAAATTTCATTTAATTCTGATCATAAATATTTTTTTGGCTTGTATTATAACGTGTATTCCCGTGGAAATTAGATAATCTCTATCCCACACAAAAAATCACGTCAATCCCTAACTTCGTACGACGTGAAAGAAAGACAAAAAAACAAACAAACAAACAAACAAACAAACAAACAAACAAACAAACAAACACACTTTCTCATTTATAATATTAGTATGGATTACACTATGGGACTCGTAAGTGGTCACGGGCAGAGTGTCTGTCCGTGACCACGGCTGGTGCAATCCAGTCGAAACGTCGGGAACAAGGTATATAGCCACTTACGAATGATGTCACTGAACATACACCTATCCATTTAAAGCTTCAAAAAGGATTGGTATCGACGATCGATCGAGTAAAAATCCATTTAAGTATTTATATAAGTAATTTTATATAATAAATTTCAGTAAGGAGATTATATTTAATAACGGAACTTTGCCATTAGACATAACGAGACCGGATCTATCATGAGTAACATCATTTCAAACATTTGCCTAATAAGAGAATTGAACCCGCACTCCCAGGCGCATCTGTTGGATGTAGTGTAAAATGAACGTAACATTAATATATAAAGTCAAAACCTGTATTAAATTTCCGCCTTACTGATTCAGAAAAAAATAATGTAATACATTCGAATGCTAATACTACTATTATACTATTTTGTGATCTATGTTAATATAGATATTCCTATCTACTAAAAGATATTTCTTACATCTATTTATGTAAGATTAAAACAAAAAATCGAGCTAAAAGAATTTTTCTATCTAATCTCGACCACGTTGACCCATTTCATTAAGATTAGCCAAGTGCATACATTTTAGTTCGGAAAAATAACGGTCCTTTAGATTATAAGATAGCACTCGACAAAAATACACTTTCTTAATGCTAGTTGCCCTCCTGACCGATTTCGGTCTCGGTGCATTCTCTATTTCTATCACTCTTATAGTTCGGTGGAACGACAATTCTAAACAACTGGCGGAAGATCAGGGCTTTAGATGCTTCCTAAGACACGAGGGTGGAACATCACAATTTTTCAACTGACAGGCTGTTATTGAAATTTCTTGCAGAAAAAACTCAATAGCTAAACTTGATCGCACCCGTGGCTTGAAGGCTGTGCCTCCGGAGCTACTAAACCGAGTCAGTCCATTGATACATGAGGAACAGTAAATATGGAAAATAGCCTTATATTCTGAATGATAGATGAAAGTTTTTAGTCAGACATTCATATAATATGTATTTATTATTTTATTTCAATATGTTTCTTCTTACAGCAAATTATAATAGCAGACGTGGTGCAGCGTAAAATAGTTAGATCAAATAGAATATAATAAGATAAACGCCACACTATACACACGGGTGTTACGGGCACTTAATATCTTAATTTTTACTTATATCGTCGATAAGCGGAAATAAAGGAGAAAAATATTAATAACTCATATAATATATAAAACAAAGCAATTAAAATATGTTTAACTTTTACTGCAACGCCTGCTCAAATTTTATATAAATTTTGCCGTATGAAAATAAGACTACTTGGTTATCGGTAGGATAAGTTAATACTAAGGTATTAGTTACACTTAAGTCAATAATTTTCTGTTTTTTCTAGATTGTTCGTCTATAAAAAGTATTTATGTAGAATCAGATCACTGACCCATTTATTTTAAATAAGGTTTTTTTATTTATGAAGTCAAAAATAAAAACTAAATTGAAAGGTGTGGCAATATTGAATATTCTTATGTTTAATAATAATAATAATTTATTCATATATATTCTTAGTCAAAATTATGTTCATATTCCATTTGCTGTAGAAACCCTTGGCCCATGGAGTCAAAGTGCTAAGCACTTCTTAAAAGACATCACACCTCGTCTTATCGCCTCTACTAGTGACAGGAGAGCTGGCTCATTTTTCGTCCAAAAAATCAGTATTGCCATTCTGCGGAGGTATGTGGCTAGCATTCTTGCCACTATTCCACGCGGATATGACTTGCACAGTAAAAATAAGTGTGCATTTATTTTGTTAATATAATTCAGTCTATTTGTAATTTTCTTTGTATTCAGCCCTTCCGTCCCCCTGCTGAGCACGGGCCTCCCTTCAATACGAGGAGGGTCAGGCCATAGTCCACCACGCTGGCCAAGTACCGGTTGGCGGACTTCACATGTCTTTCGATAACTTGTTAGGCTATTTCAGACATGCAGGTTTCCTCACGATGTTTTCCTTCACCGTAAGACAAGTAGTAATCATGTTAAAAAATGATTCGCACATGAAAATATCAAATGTGCGACACCCGGGATTTGAAACCACTTCGCTCTGTAACCCAAGCGAGTGCGTCACCACTGAGCTATCACTGGCACCGTTTCTTTATTGTAAATAAATTTATTCATATAGTTTTTACAAAGTTACATAATATAAATGATTAACAGATGAAGTAGGTCCGATATTTAGTTTGATTAAGTATAATGTAGATTTCAATTTTCATATACAGACCAATGGGAATCTTAACCCGATAATATCTGATGCCCAGCTACTCCTGAGAAATTGGGGGACGCATTTCTCGGGGGAAGCTGGCCATCGGGGGCATTTTACGAATTTCTATTCCTTATATACCTGCTAACATTGTAAAATCATAAAAGTTCAGGTTTTCAATATTTTGTTCCCAAACCGGATTCCAATTGGACTAATAGTTTATTATAATGTGGTGGTGATGCTCATAACAAGTATTATTTAGTAAATTGTAAAGTGTATATTTGAATACACACAAAATGTGGTATGTAATTTTTTTTACATTTGTCCTTCTTTTATGCAGAAAGTTACTTTAAATATTTACTGGTTTAGTGACTACTCAAAAAAACTACTTTTTCGGTATATCATAAGTTATCTGTATGATATTAGAATCCAGCAAATTATACTAATTAGCAAAACTAAAAGCACTGTTAGAAAACATTATGGAAATAACCTTTGATTCATGTAATTACAATATTAAGCTAATATGTACATTGTACATATGTTATTTATAGTTTTATTATCTTCTAACCTACATAATATCCATGTTTAATAAAAACCAAATGTTAATTATGTTTAATATTCCAAAAATAAAGTATTTAGGAACACTTTTTTAGTAACCGTGATTAGCTTAAACTTTTAGGAAAAGTAGATAAATGCATTTTTGGTATTTTCAAATTAAAGACCCAATTGTTTTTAACAATTTAGTCAGTCACTTTAATTTTACTCAAAAACTTTTTTCATAAAACATAGAGTAGAGAGTATTGTATTAACTACACCGTCTTTATTCTTGACATCATTTAGAAGGTAGCATTAATAACGTCGACATTCACAATATTATTACCTAAAGTCATTATTTGTACAAAAATCAATCATATATGGTCCTCATTTCTCAGACACTCAGTCTCCAGTAGATCTCATTTAAAGACGGAATTAGCGCAATATGAATAGCTATATGAAAATTGTGTAACGTATAAAATGACATAGACCACATACAAGTCATAAACAAAGCCAATTTTTACGCTACATTACTTGGTTTTTGTACAATTCGTGTTTTGAATACAGGACAGTAACAAGGAGCCTGCGTTAAATCTCTATTAACATATTAATTGTTCACCGCTATTCATTTATTCAGCGACATTGGCGGTTTGTTTCGGTGTTGCCGAATGGCATATTTTATGACAAACAAAACATCACTTATAAAACGAGCATACTTCTAAAGAATGCCAGTTGTCTTCCGTGAATCTACAACAAGATGCCTCTTTTAGTAAGTTCTTCTCACTCAATAATATATAGATATCTTCGCAATAAATGTGCTTTTAAATAATTTATACTGTTTGTTTCAGAATAACTTAGTAACTCTTATTTTTGCTATTAGCTGCATAAGAAATGGTTCTGCAGCCGCCTTTTCAAATGTAATAGTACGAAGAGGCCCAGTGGAGTATTTAAATTATGATCCTGCTACATTTTCCTTTGCAACACCGCAACTAGCTCAATTGTCAGCAGATCCTATAGAATCAGTGGTCCCCATACCTCCAGTGCCGTCTGTAGTAACTCCGTGTGTGTCACCTTGCGTTATTCGTAATGGACCTCCCACTGGTTTAACGCCAATATCCGCCACGACTAATGCTAGAATAGTTGCTCTTAAGTCAACTCTAGCAAATGTACCAGTAAGTAACTACATTACATTTTATACTATTATTATTAACCAAACAAAAAACATTTAAATGTAAAAGTTTCGTAAATATATATATACATACATATGTTTTTCAATCATTAAGTAATGGAGATTTTTGTGTCGTGAGAGTGATATAGGCCTTATTTTAACCCCGTTTTATAACACCACGTCACGTTTCCGTAAAAAATGTTCTCTGGATCAGCACTACCAATGACGACACGTTTGGTTTAGTTTGTAGTGACCCTACTTACTGTGCCAGCGGTCGCGGGTTCAAATCTCGCTGGGGGCATATAGTTGTGTGATGAGCACGAATGTTTGTACTGCAGTCATTGGTGTTTATGTACGTATTTGAAGTTATAGGTATATCTATAGTGTATAAACTATCTGGTATCCATAACACAAGCTTCATAGCTTACCATGCAACTAGATGGTGCTGTATGTTAATGTCCCAACATATTTATTATTTATTAATGAAAACTTAAAAATATCATTTATTTTATTTTAGTACTATTGCTTAAAATATGGAAAAGAACAAAAGTAATTATAAAATATACCTATATGTAATTAGTCTTTTTAACATCGCACTACTGGGCAGGGCCTCCCTTCAATACGAGGGGCATCAGCATCAGCACTACACTGGCCAAGTGCAGGTTGGCGGACTTCACATGTCTCTCAAAAACTATATTCTTTCCGAAATACAGGTTTTCTCATTCACAGGATGTTTTCTTTCACTGTAAGATGAGAAATAGGTAATTTTTTTGGAAATGATTCGCACATTAAAATATCAGAGGTGCGATACCCGGAATTTAAACCCGCGTCACTCGGTTTTCCAAGCGAGCGCGTTACCACAGTGCTACTGTTGCCTATAATAAAATAAAATATTTATAATATGTTTATTTTTTTTAGGAAGCAAATGGCTACCAATATGCGTATGCTGTATTTGATGAAAATACTGGAGACAAGAAAACCCAAAGCGAACAAAGTGATGGGTCAGTAGTGCAAGGACAATATTCGTTCATTCAACCTGATGGCTTCCGTCGTGAGGTCATTTACACAGCGGATGATTTGAAAGGGTATCGCGATATTAGGCGTTCTAATAGTATATAAACTTAAATAATATGAAGACGTAAATGACTAATATTTTGCAACGTATTTTTCTGATAGCGACAAGTTTTTCATGTGTAATATCAATCATGTGTATTTTTAGATTCTTTAAAGTTATAGAGAAAATCTATTAATATTAATGTTAGAATCCCTAACGATCCCTTCTCATTTTGTTGTATTTATACTACCAAAAAGTCTGTGGCTTAAATATTCTTTCAAATGCAATATATTTTAATATTAAATATAACATCTACAGGTTTAATGCAGTAGTCAGAAATATTTCCCCTGAACCAGAAATTCAACAAGAAGAAAATATAAAAGAAAAAAACGAGACTAAAAAGCCAATACCTCCATGTCACGAGGTTAAAAGCGAACAACTCACCCATGCTCATGAGGAAAACTCAGAAGATGGAATAGAACATATGGAAGAAAAGAAAAATGAAGAAAGTATTGATGAAAAAAGTCCCGAAAAGAACGTTGAGAAATCAGACAAAAGTGCTAAAAAATCAAATGAAAGTGCTGAAAAATCACATGAAGATTCATACCTTGCCGTCTCATCTGTAGAAAATAAGCCTCATACATCAAATGCTATAATTTCCTACCATGACATAATAAATTGTCTTCAAACTAAACTCAAAGGAGCTCAAAATGCTGTGTCCCCATTAACTTATGTACTAGTTCCCTCTTCAAGAAGTCCTTGTTAAAAGATTCAATGACATATAAGTCTTATTCTCAGTAAAATTTTGTAATCGAAATATGGTTAACCAAGGAATACAATCCGAAATATATTGTATCACGAATTGATCTATAAATAAACTACTTACGCATACGAATATTGTTTCAATGATTAATGAATACATGATACAAAGTAATAGATACGAATTCTATTATATATGAAATAGACGGAGAAGTGATGTGTACAATTTTTGTAGTATAGACTTTTATTTCTTACAAGCGACTTACTCTCGCTTCGCTCGGGCTTCGATGGCTCTCTAGGTATCTATTGTATTTTAATGTTATATACAGGTATTTTGCTACAGTTGTTTCATCCAAATCTGTCCAGCCGTTTCGGTGTGAATCAAAGAGAAATAACATACACGCCCACACAAACATTCGCATTTATTGCAGGAATGTGATTTCATATTAAGCTTTTGCATCCTTAATAACTTAAGGCTGTGTAAGTTTACTAAAAAATATAATATATCTATAATGTAACATTTTAAATAATACTTAATTTGAAAAAAAATGTATTTCTTAAGACATTATTATAAAAATCTAAAAAATAAGTTAAAAAAATTGTAAAAAATTATGAACTCGCCCATGCGTCTAAACAAATATTAGATACGTTTGTTTATCGCACTGCACACTATTAGTTATGACACTTTCTTGTCACGCTTTTGAAAGTTACAAAACTTGAATTTACGTATATAAAACAAGGTAAATGGAATGCTCTAAAATTACACCATCTACATAATAAATCTCAAGGCGCGAAACATAAACATCGTCTGTACGTAAACGTTCTAGTAATGTTTCAGTGCAACACATACTAAATAAAATAAGTATTGTAGACTGTTAATTAAATTGTCATGCTTAAAGTTTCTTTAAATGTTCGAGCTAAGTAATATTTATCAGAAATTTTCGAAATAATCCACGTGCATAAATCTGGACATCACTAGGTCAAGAAGTTATTTTATTCTCTATACAGATATTACGAAAATAATGGTATTGTCTTTAAATTGGCATTGAATTAAAAAAAAATATATTATTAAATTAAAATATTTTATTGAAATTCAAACATTCAAAATTACAACTTTTAACTATTTAACTTACGAGTATTACAGATTCGCAAAGAAATTTATATACAAGTTTCATGCGCTCATAAAGTTTGATGACGACCTTCGATAGTAAAATCAAATAAAATTATATTCATTAAATTATTTCGTAAACAAAGAAATTTATGCTTTGAGGCCTTTCTATTAAACCTGACCTACATACCTACGTTCTATACAGAGACATGCAACGATAAATGCTAAGTGTATTAATTTTGTTACAATAAACTAAATATACATACATATATTTATTTATGCAATACTTATACTCGTAATACAATTTCAATGAACAAATGTTACAGCGTGAATCTCAATTCAGTTAAAATTTTGGGTTATTATAACATAAGCATGAATTTATTTAGCCAGCATTATAGCATTGTTTTAATTCCATAAAAATTAAATGGCTATACTAATTGAATAGGCTAATTGAATTTATAAATAATTAAGAACTTGCAAGGATACACGCAGTGCGGAAGGCACGAAATGAGTGGTGTTGCACACTATAGCACATAGCCTTATTTTATTTAGATCAAAATCGATTCTCTCTTTCATATTTTTAAATTAATTATAGTACCAATAATATAAATAAAATCGTAATATACAAAGAGCCGCACAGGTTGCAGTTGGAATCTGAGAATATAGAGTATAAAGGTGGAACAAATCGAGGGGACATGGAAGAAATGTATCTTAAATATTGAAGTTATCAAGATTTACTCGAAGGAAATTTTCTTTTTTTTTTTAATAATAGTAACTGCATTAATTTAAAAAAAACTTACCTGAACCGGGAATCGAACCAAATAAAAATGCAAAAAAGGACACTGTCAATATTTTATCGAATTAATCGATATTATGCAAAGGATAAAATCTCTCAAGCATTGCGTCTTAAAATTGACGAAAACAATAAAATCTTACAAATTTTACATATCGACTCTAACATCGTGTAACAATTGTATAGGACATGGAAGAAAAGTGTATTAAACTGAAAAAATCAAGTTACACTCAAAGGATTAATTGCATTTAATTTTTTTTAAAGAAGTTACCTGCAGAACCGGAATATACAGTCTGCAATGCTTTTTAAATGAATATTGTTTATGACAGAAATGCATCTAAAAGTTCTGTCTCCTGTAGAGAAAATAATAAATGACGATTAAGAACCGAAATCAGAGAAAACTTGCTACTTTACCTAACTCTGGCTATTTTAATAAAATGATCAAAGTGTGTATTAACAATTAATTGCTATGTAAGGTAATTTAAATCATGTGTCTACCAACTAATTAAAAATAGCTACCAAATATTGAGATTACATGGCACAATACCAAAGTTTAACAAAATTAAAAAAAATGTAGGTCAACATTAGGTCTATTAGTTTATACTTTCATGGAACTTCAATGACTAATAAAGAATTCCGGAGAATAGGATATAAGCTATTTTTATCATTGTAATACGTGAGCGGAAACAAAGGAAAAAACTAAATGTAATAAATTAATTTAAACAATCGGAAAGAGTTTTCACTAATACCAAATACTTATACTAAAAATACCGAACTTTCATTAAATAACTTTACTAGTATGGACGCAATGATTTATACTTTTGTTAGTATTTGATCGGCGATTATACTAGATCGACCTTGAGATTGATGTCAGAGTAGCAGAGTCAAGGCGCTGAACTGGCGCATGTGCCCCACCGCGGAGTCGCCAGCCACACGCCTTTTCGTTCTATAAAACCATTCCGCTAGTCCGTTGACATCAATCCATTACTAATTGTTCAACCAAACACGCAAAATGTTCAGCAAAGTAAGTAATGAAAAGTCTAAAAGTTCTTATTAAAATATCAATAAAATACAATTTATTTAAAAATATTAGGATACCCTATATTACATTTGAAAAATTTGACTTTTGCAGATTGTAGCTTTCGGCGCCCTTATCGCAGCAGCTAACGCTGGTCTGCTCCATGGACACGCATCAGCTATTTCTTCTCAAAGTATTATTCGCCACGATGAAGGGCACTATGCCGCCCCCATCGCCTACTCTGCTCACTTAGCTCATGCTGCCCCCCTGGCTTACGCTCCTGTAGCATACGCTGCTCCTGCTGCCCACTACGAACATGAAGAATATGTAAGTAAAAACTATTTATTTTGATCTATTTTTCTCCGTTTGATTATTTATAGGTAAGATATTAAAATATCTCGTTAAAGATATCTGATCATTAAACTATTATATTAATACCAATTTTACTAGATATATTATTAGTAAACATGATCTTTCCAGGCCCACCCTAAATACGACTTCTCTTACTTCGTGGCTTTCATATTGTGTCCTTAATAGTAAGAAAAAATCATCAAAAAGTATAATTTCATATCATTTTTATAGTAACAAAAGTTTTCCATATTTTAGGCTCACCCCAAATATGACTTCGCCTACTCAGTAGCCGACCCCCACACCGGCGACCACAAGTCCCAGCACGAGAGCCGCGACGGTGACGCCGTACATGGCTACTACTCCCTGGTGCAGCCCGATGGCTCCGTGCGCAAAGTTGAATACTCCGCTGATGACCATACTGGGTAAGAAAACGATGACAATTTTAATCTAAGCATAATATAAGAGGGTGTTAGTTTGTTTGTCTTCCTTATACACCTCAACGTGGCAAGAGCTTGTTGCGATTTTTGTATAGGGATATAAGCCGTATTTAACCATGGAAAAATTATTTCAATCCTACGAGAAAACACATTATAAGAAATCCCATACACTCCTGTGTTAATTTAAATTGATTTTGTTTTCTTAATCCGATAATTGGTTGGATGAGCCCGAATGAAGCGAGAATAATTCACTAGTAATAATGCATATATAATTGTTTTTTACAGTTTCAACGCGGTTGTACACAACACAGCCCCAATCCATGTTGCCGCCGCCCCTGCTTATCATTACTAGAACTGTCGATATACCTTTAGCGAATTAATTGTGATTACTATTTATACTTTTGTACATATAAATGCATGATAATAAAGTGTGTATACTGTAACAAGCTTATTTTATATACTTTATATCCCTTTATAATTAATATAATAGCTACCATTTAGGTATATAAAATTATTAACGTCCGTCCATTGGTTTTCGATTAAATAGAATTTAATTGATCGGTTTCATAACCGATGTAGTAGAATTTCTGCTATAACTTTGCCCCAAGAACAGTTACAGCGCCAAAACATGATTGTAAAAATGCTTATAATATAAGCATATTCTTTTTTGTAATAATGCAAATCAAATGAAAAATATGTTTTGTTCAGTAATAAACTTAATCAACAAATGCTGCATATACATAGAATAAGTAGGTAATAAGAAAAAAATAATAGCTATGACTTTATAAAAGCTACACGAGAACTGCCCCATAATTTGACTTAGTCTACACTAGCGACTCACTTTCACTTCGCTTCGGGTTCGTCCCTAAAAAAAACTTTTTAACAAAAAAATAAAAACCGACTTCAAACAAAAGCACTAAAAAGTAAAAAATAACTGATTCGTAGTTTTCATTTACTATACATACCTAAACAAATATTTTCGAAGTCGGTGTGCTTTGCTTTGTATGGGCTGGCACCGATTTCGAAAATATTTGATTAGGTATGTATTTAATAGGTAGGCTTTAATTACTTAGCCAAAGCACACTGACTTCGAAAATATTTGATTAGGTATGTATAGCAAATGAAAACTACCAATCAGTTATTTTTTACTTTTCAAACAACACACAAATAGTCCAAATCAAGGTAACAAACATTAAAAAAAAAATACAGTCGAATTGAGAACCTCCTTCTTTTTGAAATCGGTTGACAAAATCAAATCTATCCCACGGGAACCGTACATTTATCTGGGATAAAAATGTAACCTACGTGCTATTTCACGCTACGTATATCTGTGTGACAACTTTCATTCAGATTCGTGCAGACGTTCTGGCGTGAAAGAGTAACAAACATCCATCCATCCTTACAAACTTTAACATTTATAATATTAGTATGGATTATATTATATTCATTATGTTAAATGGATATAACTTAGCATTTTATTCTTATCTTATACAAAAACCTTATATTCAGTTAAAATAACTTACTAAATATTATCTCCATGAACTGCTAAAATAAATGTAAGCTTGAAAGAAACTTTATAAGAAGTGATATGACAGTGAGTCAATCCATGGTGTGATTGAACTACACGCTTACATTTTATAAAACACAATATATCTTAATCTTTTTAAATAAAACTATCTTTTCGGTTTATTTCGCGGATTTATTTTGATTTTTGGTTCCCGACGTTTCGAATGCTTTACAGCATCCATGGTCACGGGAGAGACTGAGGTGTTACATGTCTTAAAGATATAGTTGTTACAGACAGCCTACCCACAATTAACAAAATGAACCAAACATCAAAATAATATAAACATCAAAATAATATCAAAATAAAAATAACCAAAAATCAAAATAAATCCGCGAAATAATCCGAAAAGATAGTTTTATTTAAAAATGTCAAACATTCGCGTAAATCTAAGAAAGTATTATATCTTAATCTCTCTGCGTGTTCGTCTGTATGCTTATAAAGCCCATACATATTGGTCTGATTAATAATATTTTTAGTATAGCAAAAAAATATCAAAAGTAGCACGGGTTTCTATTGTCAAGCGCAGTGTAGCTAAGGCCTAACGCGCTTGTCTCTATTGATTTCGAGGTGGCTTTGTTTTCACCGTTTACGCAGCGTTTCTCAATGGCGGCACTAAGTGAGAAAATCTACACAAATATAATATAAAGATAAAATTTTTATTTCTTTGAATCTAATCCAGAAATCTAGTCCATGGATTTACCAGTCAGGTTTGAGAAGTCAGTATTGCATTTTATAACCTATTTATTGAGAAAGTTGAAGGCTATCATTATATCACGTTGCGAACTTTACGAGCGGAGTATTTATACATAAACAAATTATGTGGGCAGCGCCGCATGTAAATCGAGCAGTCAATTATTAATAAGGCCTAACTCTTAAGTCTTAAGGATTTTAATTGTATTGGAAATAGGTACTTTATTATTACTTCACCTAAATAACTTTTTAAACATTTCTATATAAGAAATAAATATCCATATATTATATAATTATAGACCGGCCCTTACCTGGCCCTATGTCAGTTTTTATCTATTCGTACATCTCACAAATGAAACACTTGAGTGAGAATGATGTAGAGTAAAATAAAAAAATTAAACATTATCAAAAAATTTAACGACTACCTCATATTATTGCGTAAAATTAAATTGCGTAGATGTGAAGTTTCAAATGTTATCTAAGATTTTTACCCATATTTACGTAAAAATATGGTATAAACATCGTATTGAATTGCTTTGTTATCGTTACTCGTCCTGTATTAACTAAACGTTTTTTCTATTATCAAATTATATTAATTACTACAAAAAACCAAATTCTTAGGTTTTACATATTAGTCTTACATTGCAGTTTTTGTATTTTTTCTCAGAAATGAGATATTTTCCCGCGGTAAAATGTATCCTATATGTTGATCCGGATAATCAGCTATCATCATACCAAATTTTATCAAAATCCCTCCAGCGGTTTTCGTGATGCGGTATCAAACAGACAGACAGACAAAAATTCTAAAAACTATAGATTTAGCCTCTGTATCGAAAATAATGTATATTTCAAGAAGATTTTCCAAAAAATATTTAATGTATAGATTCGGCTTAGTTACAAGTTTACTATACATATGTATAGATTTTAAAATGGAGTATCAGACTAAGGAATGATATAGACAGAGTGTCGAACAAAACATGAGGCCAAATAATAATAATGTTTTAAAACTAATAAATTAAAACAAATAAAAATATCTAACGGATTTTATTATAATAATGAATTAAAATAATCTACTTTATGGAAAAAAATGAACAATTAAGTTAAGTTACTAAGTAAGTTAAGTAAATAAAGTTTCATAAATAAAAACAAAAAAATGTCGTACCTTTTTTATTATTATTCCATATAATAATAAAAAAGGCCAGGATTCACAAATAAAAATAATATTTGTCCTCTAGCATTAATAGTTGTTTTATAACAAAAACCTTTCATAATAACAGCATAAAATAAAACAAAATATCATTACAATATGAAAATTTGCATTATAGTGAACATATTATGTATATATACGAAATGTACACAAACACATTTTAGGTAATTTAATATATATACGTCATCATATAACAAAGAAATACAACAACTATGAAAAACTTGTCAATAAGAAAAATCGTAATGATTACACGCTTTACATAACGAGTGGCCTGACTTTGACAACTTTTTGCGCCTTTTCGCGTGCAATGTTAAACGTGCATGCTCTAAAATGTCAAATTTATGTTCCATGACACGAATTTGATATTGATTCTATAATGGGGCTCTTTAGGTGACCTTATCTATTGTCATTATTGTCGTTTGCTATGCATGGTCTGTTTCTACCCCACTTATTCTTATTGACTGCTTAATGATATAAAAACTCACGGTCAGGTCCTACTGATATCAATCACTGACCAGAACTCAACTAAACAAGACCAAAATGTTCAGCAAAGTGAGTGTGTTAATATAATTTATGTAACGAAATACTTTACCAGTGCAAAATATATGAGTTATTCTAGCCGTATGAGAATCGTATAAAGTGACCGCAAGAAATTATACGCCGATGAAACAAAAGTTGCATTGAAATTAGCAAATGTTTCTTAAAAAAACAATTTATGTATAATATTTAGCCATATTTACTATGAAATTTAATAATTGTAATAATCAAAATAATGTTTTTAGATCGTAGCCTTTGGAGCTCTTCTGGCAGCTGCCAATGCAGGATACTACCCCGATCACGGACATGCAGTTTCATCTCAGAGCATCGTTCGTCACGACGAAGGCTTAACTTTAGGTCACATCGCGGCACCTGCTCATTATGCCATACCTTTGGTGCAGGCTGCGCCTCTGGCCCACTATGCTGCCCCTACAGCTTACGCCACCCCACTTGCCTATGCGGGAAATTATAATGGACACGATGAGCATGTAAATTTTTAATTATTATACATGACATACACTATATAAAATAAAAATTAAAATGTAAGTAGTTAGTTACCGACAGTAACTCGACATGAACGAAAAACATTATTTTTGCTAATAAGACAGATAGATAGGTCATAATGCAAAAGAAAATAAAAAAAATAAAACTTATAATTATTTCGTTCTTTTAGGCCTACCCTAAATACGACTTCGCCTACTCAGTAGCCGACCCCCACACCGGCGACTACAAGTCCCAGCACGAGAGCCGCGACGGTGACGCCGTACATGGCTACTACTCCCTGGTGCAGCCCGACGGCTCCGTGCGCAAAGTTGAATACTCCGCTGATGACCATACTGGGTAATTACAATTTAGCATAATATTAGCATATATAATTTGCTTGAATTGTAATATTTATTTTTGTATGCTTTTTTTACAGTTTTAACGCAGTGGTCCACAACTCTGCTCCTTCCATTCACCCAGAACATGCCTATGCTGGTCACTATTGATTATAAATATTTTTTTATATATTTACATAAACTGCAAAACAAATTGTAAATAAGTAATTTATTAAAATATAAACAGATAAAAACATTTTATTTTAGCATTTTATTTTATTTTACCTTATTTCTATAGATATATAATAATTGTAGACATTAATAAACATAAAATGGAAAGAATTATCAATAAAATATGTAAACTGTGTGTTTAATTGCTTAAAAAACAGAGATACACTGCTTCGAATAGATAACTCAACACAAAGGCACAAAAAAACCTAATGAGCGAGCGAATAAGCTTTGAAAGTTTAATTATGATTTAACACACTCTATGATTAGTCAGTAACTAATCTATACTTATTCCAATCAATAGCTAGTTACTTCTCAGGAAACTATTGAAATAATATCTACTTATGGAAAGCAAAATCGTTGAAACGATGTATTTTTTTAAATTAAGGCGTTACATTATACAAGAAAAGTCGAACAATATTGTCATAAGAGTTGAATTATACTAGAGTAGGTATTTGAGTAAAATTGCTAAATGATAAATCCCTTCTCTGAGCATCAAGAACAACTATAAACTCAAAAACAAAGGTCATAAATCATTTTTTCTCAAGTAATGTCTCGCTCTGTTTGTGTTAACTATTATATAAATGAATTAAGCACATATATTATTTCAAATCATATTATATGTAGTTGTTTCATAATATTGTTCTGTGAAATACATACATACATATATGTATATATATATATATATATATATATATATATATATATATATATATATATATATATATTTTAAATTTTCTTAAAATTCTCACTATATTATTAGTTTTAATATTTATAATTGACTCTGCATATTGATAGTTATTGCCTATTCAAATACTATATTTTTAGCATATTTTATTAGATAAGAAAACATTCAATTACCATTTTTTGGGTACCGTAGTCAATTTTCAAAAAAAAAATGGGGTGGTACCTCCATACATGTAACCGAGTGGTAAAAAAATATTTTTGGGTCTTTACATTTAGGAAGCTTGCTTATTTACGATTTTAGAAGTATAATGTAATATGCTTTTAAAATCGTAAATATTGTGTATGTATAAAAGTAATCCTAAATGTGACATCGAAGCTTTTTTTATAAAATATTTTATATAAAAGTATTTTTTTTTTATTTTAATGCGGAGATTTCTTTGGTTCCCGAAGTTTCGAAAGTTGTTCAGAAATCATGGTTTTTTTACGGGGGATACTCTCCCGCAAAAAAAAGTCTGAAGAAATAGTTTTGATTTAAATGTGAAATGTTCGCGTAAAGCTAAGAAAGGTTTTTTTTATAATTCAAACGTTTCTACAAAAAAAAAAACAATGTTAGCCAGTCGAGTTATAAAGATTTTAAAGGATATAGATAGTTAAACCACTAAGCTTCGCATGCACATGAAATCAAATGGGTTCAAGTTAAATATATATTTTTAGTTAGGGTACTTATCTTTTCCTATTCGTAATAACTCTTGAACCTATAAAAAATTTATAACTCGATAAATCGGAAATTAAAAAAAAATAACTCAGTAGTAGAAGCATTTCTTTTTTTGCACATAGAAATTTCTGCGTCTAAAAATCCATTATTTTACTTTTTTAGAATATAAAAAAGTAATGAATATCTGACAGATATTTTCGGATGAAAAATTAATTATATCTAATTCATCCAATTATAATAATCGGCGACTAGCAACAGCCAACATATGTTTTAGAACTGTATCTTCAAATGGAAGACTGAATTTTTAATTTAAGGTCAAAGTATTCCAAAATGTGTTTTTCTCATTAATCTTTTAAAAAAGGGTAAAATGGAAATAAATATTATATTGCAAACAAAATTATAGGTAGAGCTTATTTTTTCCATTTTAAAATTTGGTAAAATTAAGCTATTATTATATGCAGTTCCGTGTTTACCACATAAGCACACAGGGCACGTTCTCAGAGGCCCCAGCCTCACGAGGGCCCCGAAAAGACAACCTTTTCGCATTCATGGAAAAACTCCAATTTTAATTTATTATGCACTTATTATATAGACTTAATAAACCTTTCTTCCTTCGTCAACTTATTTATTATTTTTAGCTGCCTTTTTTGCCCCATCGAGTTTTTATTTTATTTTTGTAGTTTACTTTTTTTTTGTTATTCACGTTTTTCACCTTTCAATACTTCCCTAAATTGTTGTGTGCCCAGAGCCCCCGCATGACTTAAGACGGCCCTGATTGAATGCATTATATTTTTGATATTACGCACGCATATATTTTTTAATTTCAGTCATCAAGCAGTGTAGCTCCAAGCAATGATAAAATATAATAAACCTATGTACATTGTACATACATAATATTTATTTACTGTATAAATTACCAGTATTATTTCTACTATGATTTTCAACCGACTTCAAAAAGGAAGAGGGTCCCAATTCAACTGTATTTTTTTTTATGTTTGTTACCTCAGAACTTCGTCATTTATTAACCGATTTATACAATTTTTGTTTTGTTTGAAAGAGTATACTTTCATATTGGTCCCATTTAAATTTCAAAAAAAAAAAATACCACCCCTAAGGGTGGAAAAATAGCTAATAATGAATTTAACCTACTTCTAATTGTCATATTGACTTGAAACTTTGCAAGTGTTTCTATTTCCGTTGATAGTACAGTGGTTCGGTATTGTTGACCTGATCTGATGGTAAGGCCAGAAGGTGGATAGGTGGAACTCTTCACCGACTAATAGAAGATACTTTGAGTTTGGGCTTATTTTGTTTGGTTTGACAAGCCTAACACTTTAGAATTCTTACTTTGCTACTACTGTCTACACTAAAAAGGGAAAAATAAAAACATTTTAACAAAAAAAAAACCGACTTCAAACAAAAGCACTAAAAAGTAAAAAATAACTGATTGGTAGTTTTCATTTACTATACATACCTAATCAAATATTTTCGAAGTCGGTGTGCTTTGCTTTGTATGGGCTGGCACCGATTTCGAAAATATTTGATTAGGTATGTATTTAATAGGAAGGCTTTAATTACTTAGCCAAAGCACACCGACTTCGAAAATATTTAATTAGTTATGTATAGTAAATGAAAACTACCAATCAGTTATTTTTTAATTTTTAGTGCTTTTGTTTGAAGTCGGTTTTTATTTTTTTCATTATCACATCTACTTTTTGTCATTTGTATTTTTTCCATAACCAAATATGATTAAAGAAGGAAGACGAAGTAGTTGAAATTGGTCGTAAAAATAAAAATAAAAATTTATAAAGATTTTCTTTAACGTTTAATAAATACTCATTAACTCATTTATATGTGTATGTCAATATTATTTGGTTTGGTTTTCGTTTAGTAATTATGGTAGTAAGCTGGTTGAGGGTGGACGGAAGGAGCAGAGTTGTGTACGACGGCGTTGAATCTGTAAAAGAAAATGAAATATTATAACATCGTATACTTTTTTAGTTCGAGATCTAATTAGAAGAATATTTATAATGTACTAGCGACATACTCTCGCTTTGCTTAGGTTTGTCCCTACTCCCTAGGTCAGTTTTAACGGTTAATATGGAATAGATAGTCGATCCCTGACTTTGTGAAAAACAAAAGCAAAAATATCCCACGGGAACCTTACATTTTCCGGGTTAAAAAGTAACTTATGTACTATGACTATAAACTATCTCTGTGCTAAATTTCCAGATCCGTTCAGCCATCCTGGCGTGATTGAGTAACAAACATCCATCCAAACTTTCTCATTTATAATATTTATGGGATTAATGAGATTATTATGGGATAAAAATTTCTCTGTAAAACATACCCGGTGTGGTCATCAGCTGAGTATTCAACTTTGCGCACGGAGCCGTCGGGCTGCACCAGGGAGTAGTAGCCATGTACGGCGTCACCGTCGCGGCTCTCGTGCTGGGACTTGTGGTCGCCGGTGTGGGGGTCGGCTACTGAGTAGGCGAAGTCATATTTGGGGTGAGCCTAAAATATGGAAAACTTTTGTTATTATATAAATAATTACACATTGAACATTTAAACACTAGGCCAAGATATGAAATTATACTTTTTTAAACTCTTTTCTTTCTATTAAGCACACAATATGAAAATATGTAAATAGACAAATAAAAAAAGATTATTGAGATCTTACGTATTCATCATGACCGGCGTAGTGAGCTGCAGGAGCGTAGACAGCAGGAGCATACGCCACTGGGGCAGCGTGAAGTAGAGGAGCCGAGTAAGCTAATGGGGAGATGTGTCCTTCATCGTGACGCACAATGCTTTGAGAAGAAACGGCGTGACCATGTCCATGCAGGAGACCAGCATTAGCCGCAGCTAAAAGGGTTCCGAAAGCTACGATCTAAAATAGAAATTTAGATTTTAATTCTTTCATTTTGTTGTAACCTAAAATATTAATTTTATTTTAGCAAACACCCACTTTAGCGAACATTCTGTTGTAGTAATGAACAATGTTGGTCAGTGATTGATGTCGATACTCCACTGACCGTGGTTTTTATATCACATAACACTAACTAGAACAAGTGGGGCAATCTGGTGTAGAACGTAGGTCAGAAAATAAAATATTTAAATTCATTAAAAAAATTCATTTACATTTGATAATAGCCTCTATATTTATAATTGTAATCGGTAACAAATTGTATTCAACGTTTGTCAAGGTGCCTACAATTGTGTAAGCTTTAAATGACAAGACAAAAAGAGCTTAATTGTCCTATTCGAACGCGTAAACTTTTACATTGTGTAATTTTTCCAATACATTTTATTGGACCACTTGTACTGATTACAATTACGACTTCTATATAGGCTATAATATTTAATTGATATATGTATATTGTTTCGTTTTAAACACCAAGTGTAATATTTTCAAAATATAAATAATACAGAAGTATGTATCTATGTATTTACATATGTGTGATAGTATTGAAATACCTTGCATCTTTCTACTACTTTGTATGTATGTATTGTATTCAGCCCTTTTTAACGTCCCACTGTAGGGCACGGGCCTCCCTCTAATACGACGGGGATCAGGCCATAGTCCACCACGCTAGCCAAGTGCGGGTTGGCGGACTTCACATGTCTTTTGAAAACTTACTAGGTTCTCTCAGACCTGCAGGTTTCCGCACGATGTTTTCCTTCACCGTATTACTACTACAATACCTACTAAATGTTCTAAAATGTGTCCTAATTGCTTTATTTTATAATAAAACAAAATTTATGACATAATATAAATAACAGATTAAAAAATGATATTTTAATCTTACAAAACAATTGTAAACAATATGTTAATTTAATTAATCCATGCTTAGATTTACGCGAATATTTGACATGTGTGAAAATGTGTTTGTTTCTTTGTTTGTTTGTCCTTCTTTCACATCGTAATGGAGTGACGGATTAACGTGATTTTTGTTTGGATATAGTTGGAGGGCTGGAGAGTGACATAGGCTACTTTTTATTGCGGGATATTGTCTCATTCCCACGGGAAAACACATTATAATACAAAACAAAAAAAAATTATAATCAAAATTACTTGAAACTTGGTATTAATGCTCTTCAATAAAATTAAATAAATACGTGTTTTAGCATTTTTCGAAATTCATCCCATAACGGGGTAAAATAGGGGATGAGTTTTAGAGCGAGCGAAGCCGCAGGTTCTGCTAGTTTTAAATAAAACTATCCTTTAGGATTTTTTCGCACAAACAATGCACTGTGTGTAACAACTATACAATGAACTTTGAGACCTCTAAAATCTTAAATCACTCCCGTGATCATGATTGCTGCAAAACTGTAAAGCATTCGAAAAGATAGTTTCATTTAAAATGCTTATTTAATTTGAACTGACTTCAAGCACGTTCATTCTAAATTTAATTTTTGTAGAGACCTAAAATTTTATAATTGGATGTATTTTTGATCTCAGTACAATATTAAAAATAATGACGTCATTGAGCAAATCGGACAAAGGAAGTAGGAGGTGGATGGTGAAACTCAGTATAACTTTTGATTTATGCTCACTTCATTTGTTTTGATTAACTATAACCTATAAAGATCTGATTAAGTGCCTATCACTCATTGTTAATTAAAAAGCCTACTGTGTTAATTTTTTACTATTTGGAGCCTTCAAATCGGTTTCAATTTTTATTTTATTTTTTTTATTTTCTCAACATCATGAATATATGTTTATATTTGAGAACTTGTCATACAGTCTATTCTAGTTTAGTGTTTACTCGTGAGTAAATACTAGAAATATTTAGGAATTTTAAACCTCGTATAATTAATATATAAAGGAAACCAACACGTTTGTGACAAGGATTACTAGTTAGTAATCTGTTGAAAGGATGTAATTGTATAACTTCCACTAATTTCTTAAATGCAAATATATATATTTTGTCACAAGTTATTTATTATTAATGTCGCAACGTGGTGCACATAATTATATACATATTTCCTTTTTGCCCAACCACCAGAAAACATTTTTTTATGTGAGCTTTTATAAGCAACTTAGCAATATCATTAGTTTCTCGATAAATTAAAAAGATTAGCTATGGTTTCTTTTTAATTTTAAGTCGAGCAATCAATACCTAAACCTACTATTGAAATCGTTCAATCTCAAGGCAAGGTTAAACAAATTGACACGTAGATAAGTTTCTATAAACCTTTTATACAGCTTCTCTCTCATCCTTAAACTAATTTATCTAATATAATACTTTTACCCTGTTTTTACAAAAATTAAAAACGGTTGGTCTTACTGCTAACCAAATGTTCACTAAACTTCAAAATTACAATCCTTACCGAGCATACAGTTATTACGTCTATTACATTTTTCTTTTAATTAATTATAAAAGAAAGCCAAAATAAAAAAGCTTTAATGGACCATGTAATAGATACCAATAATAACTTAAAGCGACCTCAGTATTATTACTATTGTTACAAGCACAAGGTGCGCATTCGCATGAACTAATGTCACTTACAGTATTTGATATCGACTATAAAAACTCACGGACGGAACCGATATCAATCATTCATTGATATTAAATCTAACAAAATGTTCTGTAAGGTGAGATATCTTGGTGTTTTAAATAATAAACCAAAATGGTACTATTTAATTTTTACACATTAAAATTTCTAGATTAAATTAGAACAAAAATAGAAATTTTAACATTATTGTTTACTAACTTGTATTGAATTCATTATTCATAATATTTTTCTTTTTATGTTTATTTAATAGCTTAAACTCTAAATTGTAATAAAATTATTAAGTTATATCATAAATCTTAAAATATCATAACAGATTCTTGCTTTCGGTGCTTTGTTGGCTGCGGCCAACGCTGGTCTATATGGTCACGCAGTTTCCTCTCAGAGCATCGTTCGTCATGACAGTGGCCACTATGCTCCTTTAGTCTATGCTCCGGTGGCATATGCTCCAGTGACCCAATATGGTCATTATGACGACGGACACTACGACTACCATGTAAGTTTAAGCTCTCTTTCGTCATTTACTTTTACTCCATTAGCTGTGACGTAGCCAGCATGAGCTATAACTAGATTATAAACAAGGGTGATATTCCATGGTAAATCTCTAAAATAACTTTAATGTATGTCAAAAACATGGAATCGTTCATGTCATCGAGTGGCATCCCCTAAATAATTAGCAGCAGCACAATCACAAATTTACAAGTGTTGCTCAACGCAAAGCAGGAAAGAAGTGGAGATTTTTATTTTCATATCGCGAATATACTTGTTACCGTAAAATGTGCTTTTCGTATGACCAAAGTACAAATCTGATCTGATCTCATCAAATGAAGGAGGAGGTACTATGATCAACGAGTTTATATTTTTCTTTATGTATGCGCTCGTTGTTAGACGCTTTGTCTGATCGTTTAAATAGTGTTTTATTAAGATAAATCTCGAAGTGATTCTGTATTTTTCTGTGATGTAGAGCATATCGTTAATGAGAAGATAAGTACAACAAATCTATTAGGTCAATTTTAACTTCTAATTTTCATATTGACTTAAAACTTTACATGTGTGTGGATTTCAAGGAACATTAAATTAATTACAGTAATCAGTGATATAATTATTGATTAAAATTTTTGAATTATTGCGAAAAAGGATTTGGATTTTTTTTAATTAACGTGATTTTTAAGATAGAGAATCTCTATATAATATTCACATTTAATTGTAGTGTTTATAGAGTGACATATAATATTTTATTCCACTAATAAAGGAATTCCAATGCAACATAATACAATATAGCAAGACTGTGTTATTAATGAAGTAAAATGATTTAACATGATATAAAAAAATGTATTAAATAATTGGTATGTAATAGACACAATGTGTATGCTTTGTCTGCTACTAGCCAAAGGCCCTGTACCCTTGAGTTGCAGTTTATCGAGACTATTTAAGAAAACAATTATAATAACTAAATGTAATAAACTTATTTTCCAGGCTCATCCTAAATACGACTTCGCATACGCAGTGGCTGACCCTCATACCGGAGACCATAAATCCCAACATGAAAGTCGCGATGGTGATGTCGTACATGGATACTACTCCCTCGTACAGCCTGATGGCTCTGTGCGCAAAGTTGACTACACTGCTGACGCTCACAATGGGTAAAAAAAATTTCAAATCGGTTCAGGCGTCTTCGAGTAATCGGTGAACATACATAAAAAAAAGAAAAAAAAAGATTCCGACGAATTGAGAACCTCCTCCTTTTTGGAAGTCGGTTAACAACCGCTTAATTTATAGCTCCGTTGACTAACTTAAACAAAGGCACTTGTGTGTACATTTCGCGATATCTTTTAATGACATTTTTTCAATCAGTACAGTGGGTGTTCTTATGAAAATTTTAGGAATAATTTCATTTAAGAGCTTAATTAAAGGGTAGTTAACTTAGTTAAGGGTTAATTATTAGTAAATTTATTAAAGGTTTAATTAAAATTTAAATAATTTTGAAGTCAGTGTAACTTTTTAGTGCAAAGTAATTTTTAAAAATTTGAATACAAAATTTTTGTTAAATAATAATAAATTGGTACAGAATAAGAAATTTATAATATTCTTAATAGTACTTCACACAGATTGCTTGTTTGTATATGATAAACTTTGGAAACCGTTAAACTGCTGATTTAATTCAACAATATAATACTTTCTTAGATTTACGCGAATGTTTGACAACAACTTAAAACTTGCCTGGTTTACGATCCTAGCGCTTCCTCGGAGGTTTTTTTTTGAAGATATTTTTACACACGTAGGAATGAGACGGTGATCACGACATTTCTTCAAGAAAGTTAAAGATGTTAATAATCTTGCGCGCTTTGTCTTCTTCTAACCGGCGTATCTTGTTTGCGATTTCCATTGATTGATTCTACAATTTTTTCTCCTAATGAAAAACATAGGTTATCATTTATCAATGTTCCATGAGAGCAAAAAGCTGCGGTAAAAAACTACTTAGTACTTTTAAAATTGAACCATAAGCTTGACTAACTCAATAATTATTCAAAATTTAATTAAAAATTATATTTAAAATCGGCTATTTGATATATCTCTTTATTGTTATGCTAAGAAAATGCGAGTGTGTAAATTTATACTAATTAACCATTAGTTTGGGCTCAAATTACTAACGCGATGTATAACACGATATGCGCAATAGATGCATGAAATAGATAGCTGTGAGAATATTAATTCACGCAAAAGTATAATAGCATGGTTTTCGTCAATTTTATTAACAGTTTATTTTGTTTTTTTTTTTAATTGTGATAGGTAAATGAAATCTATATACATATAGAGAAAACTTTCAGAGCACGTATGGAGGAGAAAAGGAGAGGCTTTAAAAAGCTAATGTTATATGGAGACGAACAATGGAAATTCAATATTTAAAGACTTGTTTTCGTCGGTGAATCCGCTCACGTAGTTCTGTCACATATAATTCCGCTTCTAGAATCTGCAACGTGATGTTAGATCTTCATCTTTATACTTATATATAAACCCGAAGAGTTTGTTTGTCTGCACATGCTAATCTCTTCAACTACCGATGGGACATAAAATGTTATTGTATTTTATAGTCCATTTATTAATGAAAGTCACAGGTGAAGGTATGAACTTTTGACAAAAGAACTTCAGTAACGTTCAAAGTTTATGTACGATACGTTCAAAATTAATCTATATAGATAGGCAATTTTCAAACGGGGAGCAATCACTAGTTACAATAAATGTATATAAATATGAGTCTTAACTCTTACTGGTCGTATCAAGTAGTACTGGACTATGAGAGTGACATGAATAAAGAGTGCATTTGTTTATGCGCGCATACTTGTGCACTATAATATCTTCTGCGCAGATGGCTAGTCTCAATGAGATTGGTCAAGAGGGCAATATTATTATTTATTAATATGAGATTTTTCTGTTTATTGTAGATTCAACGCCGTAGTGCACAACTCTGCTCCTTCTATTCACCCTCAGCCTGCCTACCACCATTATTAAGGACTAGCTGATTTGTACCAAAATAAACTCTATTCTCTACTACTGTGATGTAAATAATTTATAAATGTTTAAATTATTATTAATAAATACTCTTATTTATAACTTAACAAGTTTTTTTTACTTTTCTATTTATTCTAAACTATGAGCTTTAACAATAAGGGGATCTGATGGTAAACTATTTTGCAGCGGTTCCTTGACATGTTTACGATTAATAATATTATGATTATTATTTTTATTACAATAGTACTGCGATAATCGCTGCTGTGATAACTGTGATAATCATTATTTCCACTACGATATGTTAAACCTAATTTTTCAAGTGGTTGGGTAGTTTGCAGAATATTCTGATAGCAACTTACCAAGTTAGCTTATCATTCCTAATAACAGAAACGGTTTGAAAAAGTGTTACCTTTATATTTACATATTATATATTATATTAATAGTCATGTTTGATTTATTAACAACAGTATATCGTTTATGTTAACAATATAACGTAAATCGTGATGGCTTTCACGCAATTCCGTCACGAGCGGTTATAAAATTAGGGCCAAGTGCGTATAACCTTTAAATTGTTTAATTATCTACATAATTACCTAGTGAAGCATATGGTATAAAAATATTGTTTTAATTTTCTGTATCTTAGTAAAATGTAACAATAAATATATAGTTATAAATGAAAATGAAAAAATATTACAAATTACTTTATATATTAACCTCGACATCACAAAGATGTAAACAGAGTTAAAAATGAAAATGAATGAGACATTCCTATCTGTTTTGAAAATTCGTCCCCTTAAAGAACAAAAAGGTGAACGTTTAAGTCAAATTAAAAACACGATGTAATCTGCGTTTCTTTTAATCAGGTTTCTATTATAAATGCGAAAATTTGTATATGTGTGCTGGACATTTTTGAATGTTTAATACACAGAATATGATGATGTTGATTAATATAAACTGCTTGGTTCTTACCTGGGATGTTCCCGAGCGAAGCCAGGTTCAATCACTAGTATAGTGTAAATCATAATTGAAATTTGCTTTAAGCAATGAATTAAAGTAACTACCCACTCCTATTCTTCAAATTAATGCAATAAATATTCTTTTCATATCCTTTAAGTAATGTTGTTAGATGTAGGCAAATGGCAGTAATGCTCTTGACCAAGAGATAACAAGAAAAGATAATAATTAACAAACTATTAACCCACAGTTTATGTTCCGTAAAAGGAGGCTTGAGATTAGCCAAACAGTTTGAAGTTTCTTAATTATATCTATGTACGCATTTTACTGTAGATCCATAGGTACCTATTAAAAATATATTATTTAATAGTTTGTTGCTTATTCAATTAAACTTAAAAATCTAAATAATATATAGGTACATATAATAAAATAGTAACGAAGCGAAATATGAAATATTTTTAAAAATAATGAGTTACGTATTATTTATAGAATATGGCTCTCAAAACAATAATTATTGAAATTTTGTTTGTTTTTATATCTGTGTACATTTCACGCAAACCTACAGAACGGATTTTCACAAAATTTTGTGTAATGATAACGTATTGCTCGAGTTAACATTTAGGATACCTTTTACTACAGGAGTCTGTCGAGTCGTCCTTTTATCTTATAACTGTAAGTCGCTAGTTAAAAATAAATATAATATTCACCAGAATTATTTTAGGTGTTGATATTAATTTAATATGCGATAGAGATCGCATAGATAGAGTAGAGACTCACACTTGGCCAAATCGAAAAATAGTAAATTTATGTTGCAATTGTTCGTTTTGAAACCTGATCTAAAAGTCAAATTGTAATTAATCAAAATGCCTAATAACTCTTAAATTAAAAAATATATATTGAAAAGACAATAACAATAACCTATTTATTGACGCTATTTCAATGAGTATTGTTGTATTTTAGTTACAAGTTAAGTATCTTGCAGATTCCTGGAATCCTGGAATTGACGCTGCAGCAATAGTCCTAGGATACCATATCATTAAAGTCATTAAAGTAATGAGATATCAAGTTTCGAATCGATTATATGTATGGAGAACGTCTAGATAAGAACTGATAGCCTACAAACAGCTGACAGAATTTTCTTGATTTATAGCTTAAAACACATTCATCGAGTCATCAATCAAGTCACCTTTCAAACAAAAAAACTAAATTGAAATTGATTTATCCGTTTGGTCCTTACGATGCCACATACAGATACACAGATACACTCGGTAAACTTATAGCTCCCATCTTTTTGCGTCGGAGGTTAAAAATATATACCTGCCAATGGTCTTGTAAACACAACACAAAACAATTTTTCAAAATTTAATTTATTCTTTATTAAAACTTTTATCTAACCACTTTCTTACTTCAATTAATTACTATTTCTTAAAGATAGAATGTTCTCAAACAAACATGAAAAGCTTAATGGAATTTTAGCAACATTCCAAGTAAAGCTATAAAAATTAATGATAAGATTTTTACGTCAGGGTTATTTATTATATCTCACAGATATATAATTGTTACAATGTGTCACTCGTTTTTCTGGTATGAGGTAGATATTACATGTCATAGATACACATTCTTAACATGTGTGAACTCAACAGTAACAAAATCTATTCCTCATTCTACAAGTACTTTACATTTATAAACAAAATGGCAGTTTTCGTTACCTTATCATAGTCTACATTGACCCAGTGTAATGTGGTATAGTCACAGTTCTCAGAATGATATTGTTAAGTAACCATTCTTTGGTGAGCTGTGTGTAATGCGAGAACTGTGAAGACAAAGCACGATGACCTTGCGGCCACATGGATGTACCACGGAGCGCTTTCGGCGCCCCACCGGAGCCACGATGTGAATTCTTATAAAACCCACGAATACTTATCAAAGGTATGTCAGTCACGGATTAGAATTCAAATAAAAAATGTTTTCTAAAGTAAGCACAAGATTACACAGATTTAAGCATAATTAGAACTGAATGAATTGGTTAAAAAGTTTTTGATTGATTATATTATTATTTTGATTAATTTACAGATCTTCATCTTCGGTGCAGTGTTAGCAGTGGCTCAAGCGGGTGGCTTGCGTCATGGTGGTTATTCCCTATCTTCCCAATATAGTGGATTGAACCACGGCTACGGATATGGTGCGGCTCCCCATCAGTCTGCATCTCTAGCTCATGCTGCTCCCTTGGCTCATGGAGCTCTCCAATATTCTGGCCCTCTCGCTCATACTGCTCTGGACTACTCAGGTCGTCTTTCTCACCTAGCTTCGTTAAACCATGCATCTCCTTTGAGCTATGCAGCTCCTTTAGCCCAAGCAGCTCATCCAGCTCATTTGGGTTATGCTGGTCCTCTAGGTAATGCTGATCCTCTAGGTCATGCTGGTCCTCTAGGTCATGCTGGTATTCTAGGTCATGCTGGTCCTCTAAGTCATGCTGGTCCTCTAGGTCATGCTGGTCCTCTAGGTCATGCTGGTCCTCTAGGTCATGCTGGTCTTCTAGGTAATGCTGGTCCTCTAGGTCATGCTGGTCCTCTAGGTCATGCTGGTCCTCTAGGTAATGCTGGTCCACTAGGTCATGCTGGTCCTCTTGGTAATGCTGGTCCTCTAGGTCATGCTAATTTTGCCCACGCCACATCACATACCAATGTGGTTTCCTTGTCCCACACTTCTCCTTACGGCAATCTCGAAAATGCTGGCCGTTATGCTGCCAAAGACTACTACGTAAGTTAAATTTTACTTTTACAATGTAATATATATCACAAATAGCATTGCCCGTGGCTCAGCCCGTGTTCAGATTACCAAAAACCAAATTCTTAGGTTTAACATATTAGTATACTCTTACAATGCAGTTTTTGTATTTTTTCTCAGAAATGAGATATTTTCCCGCGGTAACAAGTATACTATATGTTAATCGGATAACCAGCTATCACCATACCAAATTTCATGAAAATCCCTCCAGTGGTTTTTCCGTGATGCGGTAACAGACAGTCAGACAAAAATTCTAAAAACTATAGATTCGGCCTCTATATCGATAATCGATAATAATGTATATTTCAATAAGATTTTCCAAAATATATTTAATGTACAGATTCGGCATAGTTACAATTTTATTATATATATGGATTAATGCATATAACTTTAGATTGAATAGACATTGCTTATAAATTTATTTACGTACTTTTAATATGTTACAGTCTCATCCTAAGTACCAATACTCATATTCCGTCGAAGACCCTCACACTGGTGACCACAAAGCTCAACACGAAGCCCGTGACGGTGATGTTGTGAAAGGCGAATACTCTTTGGTCCAACCTGATGGCTCCGTCAGAAAAGTGTCCTACTCAGCTGATGACCATAACGGGTAATACATTTATATCAATAACGCAACTAACAAATAGGCGCGACATATCGACTTTCCTAAAATTGCATAAAATTGGTAAATTGGAAACGTTTATGACTTGCTATTTTTAAACATTGATTTCTCAGGAAGCTTTACGAGACACGTAACAGACGCGTAATATGACGTCACATACATATGTATATAAACTCACATGGCAGTCAAACCGGTAATCTTTAGCTTCATCATATGAGTAATGACCTGAATCGACCTCTGTATTTAATACTAGAGTATCTCGGCAAACAGGTGTCAATAACGGACTAGTTGTAGAACGAGTTCTCATATCTCGATTATTTATTAAACGTAAACATTACTTTCAGTTTCAACGCGGTCGTACACAACTCCGGGCCCAACCATCACATCTACTCTGCTCAATATCATCATAACTAATTCAAAAGTATAATCTAAGTCACCAAAAATGTACAAAATATCTTGCCTTACTGTGATCAATTTTATATATATTTTTTTATTATGGGAACAAAATAAAATAATTTAAAAACGATGTATCTTTTGATTCAAACAAAATATGAATGTAACATCCAATATGTTACCTTTCACCAATTGGTACCTTTCATCAGTCCACAAAAGAAAATTTTAAGTACTTACAATTTAATTAACATGTCGCAGTACCGAGTATGTATGTTTCTGGTTCTTCATCTTCGTGCATGAATTCAATTTCTATATTATAATTAATTGGGACTAGTTTTAACAATGACATTGAGTAACATATTAAAATAAAAAACAAGCTTTAAACATTTTGAGTTGCGAAAAAGCAATCTAATTGATAATCTTAAATATGCACTGTTGAAACTTCAACACTTGCCTGTTATTTACATTGGCAAGTATTGCACATAAAATTAATTGTGACTCTATCTAATCATATTATGATATTGTAATTCTATTTGCATTTAATGTCGTAGGGACATGATTATCAGTAAAAGTTGAATTAATTAATAATATGTGGTCATGTCTAATTTTTATTAATTTTAAAATCGAATCTTACAGAAATTTATACAAGCGATAGTATAATATACATACATCAAAATAATTGGATAATATTTTAAAATTCTGTTATTATTGATATTATTAAACTTAAGCACTTTAAATATTTTTATTACGCATACAGTAACAGTAAAGTGTCAGTTTAAAATAACTGACAATTTATACATATAATAAAATTGTAACTAAGCCGAATCTGTACATTTAATTATTTTTGGAAAATCTTATTGAAATAGACTTTTTTATCGATACAGAGGCCGAAGCTACAGTTTTAGAATTTTTGTCTGTCTGTCTGTTACCAGACCACGGAAAAACCACTGGAGGGATTTTCATGAAATTTGGTATGGTGATAGCTGGTTATCCGGGTCAACATACTCGTATAGGATACTTTTTACCGCAGGAAAATATCTCATTTCTGAGAAAAAATACAAAAACAGTATTGTAAGAGTATATAAACCTAAAAACTTTTTGACCATCTGAACGCGGGCGGAGCCGCAGGCAATGCTAGTATACAAATATATGTATATGTTATCAATTAATTTATATGTATGTACGAAATCTTTTGTCAAAATATTGACGCAATTACTCAACTCATTTTATAACTTAAAATAATCAAAATTATTTTTTTGCAGCTATTAAAAGTTTAGGGGCTTTATGTCTATAGCAGAAGACTTACGATATTATTTATCTTATAAAATATATATCACCACATTACACAAGATCTAATGTAAATAGTGTTTTGTTAAATGTATCCTATATTGGATCTTACCAAAGCAGTAATCTTATATGAATTACTACAGATTATAAATTATAGTAATTGTCTCTATGTTGATGCGATGGTGAATAGCTATGTTTTGTAATATTATCAACTTTCAAAGACTTGACTTTTTGGCGCCACTATTTTAATTGCCAAGATATCCATATTTTAATGTATTAAGACATACCTTCAAGTATAAAGTTAATTTTCTCTTAATATTAACTGTTTTCAATAACTGTTACCATTCTAAAAGAGATTAGTCGATTGCGCAGGACATATTATAGCACAACTATGGGCGTAAACACAAGTCTTTTCACGTTCTCTATTCCTTAAACTCTGATATTTCTGTAGGGTAACAAATCGTAGTCACCAGTGTGAGATCTGGTGCAAGACCGGCGGCTTCACGTGCTTTTCGAAGCATGTGGGTGTATACACGTATCCAAGGACTAGTGCTGAGCATTTTGTGATGGAAAAAAATTGTAACTATTTTGACCTGCCCAAGTCCTGAACTTTCGGTCACGATTTGAATAAGGCACCAGGTATATTCTTAAGAATAATACAAAGAATATTTATCTAAGTATAGGTTTATTACTATTTTATTGTTATAAACTTTGTCCCATATCACAACACATACTCGTATATGAAGATTAAACTAATTGCCTTTTACTTGCATTCAGCCCTTTGTTTTAAAGTCCCACTACTGGGCACGGGCCTCCATTCAATACGAGGGGGATCAGCCCATAGTGTTTAAGTGACCTTTCTGAAAAAACGCAACTTTTCCGAAAAAACATAACTTTCCAAAAAACGCCGATGGGAGCTCGGTCGCCCAGGTACTATAATTTTATACAGACACGAACTAGTATATTCATAGACAAAAGAATATTTTAAATCTATAATTAAAAGTTTTACTCATATATGTAAATAATAAAAGATACTCTGTTAATTAAAGTACACAAATGTAAACAATTCGAATGCTACAATTTTCAATGCATTTGTAGTGACGAAAAATAGATAAATCTGTCTCAAGAAATTGCGTACTCTAATTTCTCTACTACTATTTACGCCCATGCCCTGTAGATAGTGGCTGGTCCACTTTAAACCGACTTCTATAAGATTGTGTCATAATCGTTAAATGACTATTAAATGTAGAACTAACCTAGTACCTATTTGTAACACCATCTTATATTATTAAGCAACAATCATTTTCTAACGTTACTTTGGAATGTACATATAATATATATATCTTAATATATAAAATTCCCATGTCTGCGTCCGCGATGAACTTCGAAACTACTAATCGGATCTCAACGAATAAAAAATTATAATTATATAAAATTATAAAAAAATATATATATAAATGTCGCATCAGTTCCAACTTAGAAAAAAAGGGAAATTTTTACCCCGATTATTTTCTTTTTTTTTAATTGTAAAAATAACGATTTTTATATCCGGAGAGAGATTCGGGAGAGAACCTGAGAATATATTTACTGACATTAACTGATGAAGTTATATGTAAGTGTGCCACTGCAACGCATAGCCGGGTCTGCTAATTGTATATAAGTACTAAAAGCTTGTATTAAAAGGTAATTAAAGTAAATCATAAATCGATCAATACAAAAGACATGAATCAAATTGATTACGCATAATTTATTATGTTTTCATGATGTCGCGGTCGTGACAGGCTAAATATAGAACCTAATTTAACAATTTAGACACCTGTAGAACAAAAAGTAGCGTTTGATATTAATCTTATTTCTGTCAGGGTCGTTATTTCGGTGATTAACCTCCGAACTACAAGCTTCATTTATCCTTTCAACCAATTCTATTTCATAAAAGTAACACTATTTCTACTGATGCCTTGTACCTCTTAAAATTACCAGAAAATATAAGAAGTTATTTAAAAAAACAGGTTTTTAGCTAATAATTGCAATTTCTTATTTATTTTAGGGTTTTTAAACCAAGGTTTATTTCAACAAATCCATGAAACATGCCTTGAAGTCACACAAATATCAATAAAGGAATTCGATGCTCGCTGATATATATAAATTGTATAGGTATTCTATGAATCAAATACAAAATCATAACTTAAAAAACTATGTTTTAAGCTATTAATTTACACAAGATTAAGCCATTATCTTTTACATGTTTCTGAAACATCTACCATCTATACTATAATAAAAATTTTATTTTTTTGTTTCTCTGTCTGTCTGTTTGTACGGGCTAATCTCCGAAACTATTAAACAGATTTAAATGAAATTTTTCATGGTGGTACCTTATATCCCCGGTCAACATCTACGATACTTTGCATTCCGGAAAATTAAAGAGTTTCCAAGTAAAAGAGTTTAGTTTCAACTTATGCACCTAATTTAGTAAAATTTGGCATGCTGATACCTTACATTGCCGGTCAAACAACAGGTTACTTTTCATCCCGGAAAAATGAACGGTTCCCGTGGGATGATCGTGCTTTTCTAGAGGCGAAGCCGAGCGAAGCGAGGGTGGGCCGCTAGTATAATATAAGATTCCTAAATTGGGAAAATAAATCTGCTTAAATACTTAAAACTGTGTATCTTTACAGGTAACATTAAGGAAAAACAGTTTTAAAATATCGATTTTATGGATAATTACATATTTATGAATAGTACGGTAATCATTTATTTTAATTTTCTTTAAAGATAAATAGTGTATCAATATATATGTGCTGAAAGAAAAAATTTATTGAATCAAAATTATTTTTTAAATAATTATTAAAATAATAATGGAAACATGAGTGAACATGTAAAATAAACTTAATGCAGGCACTATACATATGAAGTAAATACTTTTAAGCTAAATATTTTAATTTTATGCATTTTTACTAAACCAAATATAACAAAATACAAAAGGAAAAATAACAATTTTTACTCTACATCTCTCTGCAAACGATATAGGTGCATACTTCAAATTCAATTCATCAATTTCTAAATAATATTTTAATCTTATTCCAACGAATTTACAGCAACTAAATTTAATTAATCGACCGTGCAAGTTCCTTTCGAATGGCATTACTAATATCCGCAAAGTGAGTAAGCGTAGACAAAATAGTCAAAATTGGCAAAAACGGAAAGCATGTTTAATATAATACATTAAATTGGCATATATATTTTTTATAACTTTATATTTAATTGATGCTTATTTATATATATGCAATTCTTAATTTATATTTGAATACCAACATTTATTTTGTGAAAACAATATTCATATTAAAAAGTACAATGAAATAATTAATTTACTACTTGATTTCACTTTGTATTGAATAAAATAACAAATATATTATAATTTTTACTCTATCTAGGGGCATGGCAGTGCCCTTGCTAAGTCGAGTTATTCTTTTCTAACAAAAAACTATCAATTATGATAAAAGAAGTTTGTAAGACAATCGACGCAGCATGCGGCTTATTAAGGTACATTCCAATAAACAATGTGCCTTAGATTCATTCATCTCATTTTGTTTTTTATCAAGTCCCTGATCGTATTACGAACATAAGTTAGGAAATCAAGTATACAGTATTATTTGAGTAATGCCAGTGGGTGACCGCCGTGTGGTCGACGTCGTAGGCCATTTGATAGTAAGATTACACAATTGTTTGGTATGGTCAATCACTGAAATTAAATATGCTTATTATTTAGTTAAAACATAGAGTACTAGCAACTTCGGACTTACCCTGTATTTCCATGGCATAGTTTATCTGTACTAAACTTCACAATAAATACCTTATGAACATATTATCAATAATGCTTATGGGTCCTCTTATTCCAGCTTCCAACAATATCTACTCCTTGTCTTTAAAATAAAAAATGACAATGTACTTTATAAGTAAGCACTGTACTCGGAAATTCTAAATAAAATTTTAAATTACATTTATTGAGTTTGTATTAATAGCAGTATCTATACTAATATTATAAAGAGGTAAAGTTTGTGAGGTTGTAAGGAATTATCTCTGGATCTACTGAACCGATTTAGATGATATTTGATAAAAAGATAGTTTGAGACTCTGGGAAGGACATAGGATACTTTTTATCCCAGAAATCATGCCTTAAGGGGGTGAAAATGGAGTAATGGACCATAAAAGTATACAAAATAGAATCTTAAACATATTAAAATCAGATTAGTAAGTTAAGTAGAACTTCAAAAACTGCCATAGTTTATGCTACTAGCATGTTTTGATTTATTACGAAATGTTACGCGATAATTTAGCCATGTTATAAACCATTTCCAGAAGTAGCTTGAAATATATGAACAGTTGAGCACTTAACAAGTCACACATAATACGCGGGGCGTAACTGAATATGTGCCACATTAAGACATTCAAGTGCAGTAATAATGTGTTATATGCCACGCTTATTTTAATGCGATCGGTCGGATTAAAGTTGATAGCCGCGCGTAACTATTCATAATTATAGATCTTCCAAATATCTTCAACGCGGTTTTACGTTTCAAGTTCACAAAAGTTATACAAATTACACATATCCAAGGCTTTTGTTATCTGTTACTTCAACCGTAAAAAATTACAATATTGAATATAGTATGCACCTACTAGTAAATACCTACCGCTAAATTTTACTAACAGAATGTATGTCATATATAAAATCAAATATTTCAACACATAAAATTGTAGTTCATTATATTTGAACCATTTAATTTTGAAGTAACCATAGACATAGATAAGAGAGTAGACTGAGTATTTTTTGCCAGCCGTCAGTTAAAAATGGCGGCAAAACGACTAAGACAAAACGAATTTGCGGCCAGAAGTCTTCTGTATTGATTGAAATTAATGAAATGCAATTAAGGAAAATAGATATTTATAACCATTTTATATTCCATAATAATATTATTATAATTATTAATAAATTATAATCTTATTTATTTTACATTTTATTTATAAATTTAAATTATAGGCACTGGCAGTACGTTCACTTTCCCTCTTTCTAAAGAACGATCAATTTCATGACAGTATTTTTCAGTTCAGTTCATTCTCTACTTCTATGAAAGTAACGCAATATCAATATTCGTAGATAAACCCGCGCTGCGGGGTAACAGTGAGGGAGTAAGTGATTACCGAAGGCAACAACGACCTCGCCGTGTCAAAGTTACGGAACTGAAATGACCGCAAGCCCCACCACCAAAGGACTATGTGTCCGTTTTGCTTTTCATATAAAAGTCTAGCCAGGCCCGATAATGGTATCAGTCACATACTCGATTAACAACAGCAAAATGTTCTCTAAAGTAAGTTAAGCATTGACCTTTTGTTATTATTATATTCATGTCTTTTATACAGTGTTTTTATTTATTTATATTTTTTTATATTAATATTTTAAATGCTAATTTTATTTATGTTTTAGATCGTCGCTCTGAGCGCTGTATTGGCTGCTGCCAATGCTGGAATCCTCCCACTTCACCACGCCTCAGCCGTGTCATCCCAGAGCATCATCCGCCATGACAACCCGGTCCACTACGCTGCCGCTCATCTCATCCACGCTCCCGTGGTCCATGCCCCTATCGTACATGCCGCCCCCATAGTCCACGCTCCTATCGCTATTGCTCACGAATACGTAAGTATTTACTGGCAAATTTTTAAATACTTAGTCTAACGGATAATAGACCTCCCGATCTGATGAAATGCCCTGCTTGACCATTACGCTTTGTTGAACGCATAAATATATTTAAAATATATTTGTTTTAAAACAATAATTATAATAATTACTCTTTACTATACACCCACAAATAAAGAATAGTACAAAAGTAACAGAATAAAATTATTGTATAAGACGCAGCCTTATCCTTAAAACGGCTATTTGCCCATTTATTATATTTCTTTTATTACTATGGAATATTTTGAGCTATTAAATTACTAATATAATATTAAACTTTAATATTAAATATACGTTGATTTAACCACGATTTCAGTCTCACCCTAAATACGACTTCTCTTACTCCGTGGCCGACCCCCACACCGGCGACCACAAGTCCCAGCACGAGAGCCGCGACGGTGGCGCCGTGCACGGCAGCTACTCCCTCGTCGAGCCTGACGGTTCCGTCCGTAAAGTAGAATACACCGCTGACGACCACCATGGGTAAGTTTATTATCGGAATACTATTAAAAATGCGTATATTTTTATGTGTGTGTATGTTTACTCCATTACGATAATACGGCTAGACAAAGGATGAAATTTAGTAAACAGATAGAAAGAATAAGACTTTAGGAAACACATTCGGCATCTAAGGACGTACTCAAGTGGAGTTAGAATAAGCTGTTAGTAGCTTTATAAAAAATAATTTTACATATTATACATACAAATAAAATCATCACTTTCGTTACTTCTGGATATATTCTATAACTTTGCCACGTTAATGAGTGCAATTTTAGTTAACCGTTACCTACCACTATGAGCCACTGTCTGTATATATAATGTATCCCTGTACCAAAGTTCATCCAAATCCCTTTCAGCCTTTCTGGTTGATTGAGTAAACATCCATCCAAACTTTCGCATTTATAATATTTATGGGATTATGGGAATAATGAGATTTAGTTCTCTGCCATAAAAAAATAGCATTGCAGATATTAAATTGACTGTTTCTTTTTGCAGATTCAACGCTGTAGTCCACAAGACCGTGGGCCACCACCCCGCCCCCGTAGTCCACGCTCCTATCATCCACGCTGCCCCGGTCTCACATCTCGCCATCTCCCACCTCGCTCATGGACATCATGGCCTCCACTACTAAACGACCTTAGCATAAAATGTAGATGATGATCGTGATGGATGACTGGTGATTGTGATATTTATGTGTGTATATAATAATGATTGATATAAACTTAATACTCACTTGTAAATAAATATTATTTGCTGATCAGTACTTGCTCCTTTTACTTGCAATCTCCTCAATTACCCTTATAAACAGGTCATTACATGCAAGACAAGTTTAGTTGATTGATATATAAATATACATGTAGAGTATATTATTATATTCTACATGAACTAAATTAACGTTTTTTTCTATGTCAACGCAAAGATTTCGTAAGGCTCCACCCATTCAAATTCTTATAATAGACATTTAATTCCAACGTTACCCTTGAATCGTTATATTACAAAGTAGCTTAAAATAATTAGTAAAGTCATTATACAGACATGCGTGCTTGCGTGTTCGGGTTATAGAATAATAATCACAGTTCAGAGTAGTATAAATAAGTACAAACTTATATGTATTCTCTACATATTAATATGGCCTAGAAAAGTTACTATTCAGGTTGCACATTAAATAAAAAGAACTATTGTGTACATTAATATAAATTGTATATAAATAATTTAGTATAAAATTATAAGTTTTCATATCTTTTACGCCATAACGTATCAAAGAATTTACGTCTTTATATATGTACATATACTAGTTCGCCCAGTGGTCGAAATTCGAATATAATTATTATAAAAAATTGTGGGAGCATACCTATATGCTTAGAATTTACCTAACTATATAAATAACTGTTTCAAATTTTCATTATTTTTTTTAATTGATAACACTAAACACGTCAATGACTACTAAACAAAAAAAAAGAAAATGGGTTGACACATAGATTACAAAAAGGTACTCAAATGTTTTGTCTTTGCCAATTTTTATATAGATATGGCTATTCCAAGCAAACTGAATATATGTAATATGTATATAAATCCTAATTGGTAAAAGCAATTTAAAAGTAATCATTCACAAAATTACACTTGACTGGAACAAATAATGCAATATGAATAATGTGATGAATTACCTCCAATTTTCTTCGCTCCTTAAAGATTGTGTTAGGAAATTATCATCAAATCACATATACTTACATTGTAACCTAATGTATGTATTTTACGTGTATAAATATAAAAATTGATTTTAATTGCACTTATCATTCATTCATTCATTCATTCGAATTTTCATTCAATTATTTTGTAATATTTAATCATGTACAATTAATATATTTAGTCTCAATATGCTAGCTCTTTTCATGTGATTATATATTTACCTAACCAACCAAGAAAGAAAGAAAGGGTTTTTAAGGGTAAAACGTAGCTCCCACCTTAGCCTTCTCAACCTACGTTATTTTTATAAAGGCTTTAAATAGAGAGATCTATTAGTGAAAAATCGAAAAAATTTTCACCGTTGTCTAATTATCTGTGTTTACGCAATATCTTTTGGGTTTTCCCAAAAATTCGAACTATCACATCATCCTATGGCATATACATAAATTATAAATATTATCATGTTATGGACAAGTTACACAAAGAAGCGCTACAAATATCCAAAGCAACTGCAGTTAGGTACATGTATTAGGTACTGCAAGTACATAGGTCTGTGTCACTTAATAGAAAAAATGTTCCAATTGACTTATTTCAGACCGACATATAAGTTAATATCTTGCATCCTATATTATGTTGAAATCGTAACCAAAACATTTGGAATTTCCAGGAAGATATAAACTATTTCATTAACTACGAAAATAAAAAATGTTTGAAAAATAAATAAGTAGCCCGAGCTGGCTCAGAAGATTGTAATTCGAATGATAATGAAAACAAATCTGATAACGATCATTCTTATGATAATAACTAGCGACTCACCCTCGCTTCGCTCGGGTTCGTCCCTGGATACGTTTTAACTTTTTTGAGCGGAACCCTAATTCTTTTTCGAAAATAAAAGTAGCCTATGTTACTCCCTATAATATCTTCTAATGAAACTTTCGTCAAAATCAGTCCAGTCGTTTCAGAGATTATCCGGAACAAACAAACAGACAGACAGAGAGACAGACAAAATTTTTAAAAAAATCTGTTTTTCTTATAATTACCGTGTATAATTTCATATGCATTTAGTAATATGCTGTTATTTTGACATTACAAACAGACACTTCAATTTAATTTCGCTCTGAACATAAATTTATGAAGAATAACTATTTTAATTGAATTAATTAACTACAGTTAATATGATAAAAAATATACTGTATTGTTAAAATATAATCTATATTTATACATATTTGAAATTATATATTTCAGAAATGCAATAATTACCAAACTAGATCTATTTTAGTGAAATAACTCCATTTTGAGTTCGTGCTATACTTAAAAGTAGGTGAAAACGTCCTTAACGAAATCCTGCTATTATTTATTATTATGTGGGTGAATTATTACCTCTACTACATTTAAACAATAATGAAATGGCGGCCAAAGTAAATAGCGAGCTTAGATAATCAGAAGAATGAGTCAAAGCGACCTTGAATTTAGAATTTAGATAACAATAAAACCACGTTTTAAATAAAACCTCAGGTACATCACACTTTATGGATTTTTATTTAAAATATTATAAAATATTTGTATATAGAGCATTGCTTCAAATATCACACATTAATAATGATCATGTAAGAAATGCATTTAAGTGTAAAGAAGAATTGTATTTCGAATTAAACGTTTAAAATTATCAATAAAAAACATAATAATTACATTGTTATATTTAGTAAATTAGATTAATAGAATTAATGAGGTTAGTTAAGTAAATATTTAAATTAATTCAATATATTTTACAGGCAGTGGTAGCCCAGTTGGGAAACTGAGTGAAACGGGTTCAAATCCCGGGTCTCACACCTCTGATATTTTCATGTGCGAATCATTTCTAACTTGATTACGTTTTGCCTGACGGTAAGGAAAACATCGTGCAGAAAGCTGCACGTCTGAGAAAACCTAGCAAGTTTTCGAAGGACATGTGAAGTCCGCCAAATCGCACTTGGCCAGCGTGGTGGACTATGGCCTGATTCCCCTCGTATTGAGGGAGGCCTGTGCCCAGCAGTGGGACGTTAAAAAGAGCTGAATACATACAATACAATACAATACAATACAATACAATTTAAAGAGTTTCCAAAAATGTTCCCAAAAACTTTTAGAATAATGTAATTAAAAATCATTTCATTAAAATTTAAGTATGAGAAAAAACATAATTCCCTTGTCAACATCTAGTTTATATAACAAATTGTTGTGAACGAGTTCTTAAATTCCGATCGTGCGTGAGACCAATTGTTAGATTATAGGCGTTCATAATAAGTTTTTACAGTATCCGTGGTATTCGGATTTCATTCCTACTGTTCGTTTACGTGAGAACGTGTAGCAAATATGTACATTAAAGAAAATATACTTATCTGAATTAATAGTATTATTGCATATTAATATTATTCTCATATTATTTTAGTGCGGGCCCTGGTTTTGCTCACTCCTTATTTCCTCATTTTCACGCGTATTTTCAATTCGCAATAATATCCCATGAGGACATCAAGTACTCCCCGTAGTCTTTCTTGTCTTAGACCTATCTCTTTGAAAAATTACGTAGATTCAATGCTCTATTACTAAGTATAACAAGGATATTCGTCCCAAACACTATTCTAAGCATATGTATATAGTACAGATTTCTATAGAAGACACATTTAAGTACATATTTTTATACTTCAATATTTTCTCGTATTCTCACGAGTGTCGGCCAATACAATTTATCCCACGCATTGATCAAAATCACGAGTTCCAGCAACAAGGCAACAGATATTATACCTATTTAATAATATGTATGTATTTTACTTGTGTACTAAAAATGTTATACTAGAAATTTCGTGCATTAAAAAAAGTAAATGCTCATTATACTTTTGAAATATAAGTTTTTGCGTAACAAAAATATACACTCGCAATGACATTGATACAGTTCTTTAGCTGCTTAATAAAGACATTGACCCACAAAATATACGCAAACGCGGCAGCCGTTACAAAAGCAAATAAATATATCTACTATCTCTATCGGAAACGATTACAATTTGATTTGAGTAACAAGTATTAATCTATACATATAATAAAATGGTAACTAAGTTTTGTAAAATCTAATTGAAATAGACGTTATTATCGATACAGAGTCCGAATCTATAGTTTTTCGAATTTTTGTCTGTCTGTCTGTTACCGCATCACGAGAAAACAACTGGACAGATTTGATGAAATTTGGTATGATCATAGCTGGTTGTCCGGGTGTCAACATATAAGATACTTTGTACCTCGGGAAAATATCTCATTTCTGAGAAAAAATACCAAAACAGCATTGTATACTAATATGTAAAACTAAGAATTTGGTTTTCGGTCATCTGAACGCGGGCGGAGCCGCGAGCAATGCTAGTTTGTTATATAAAATTTTCGTCTAACGCTTGCTAATATATTTTATAAAAATATTTTATTTTTTACTTCGCATTCTGGAAATATTTCTTACTTGATACTCCAGAATGCGGGTAATAATATCAACGTCTTCAAGTATTTTTAATTGTGGTTGGATATAAAGTAAAATTTGGCAATATGACGTCAGTGGATTAAAAAAGTAGAATAAAGTGATAAAAAAATGTATGAACAGTTTACTAAAAAAACCTTTACAATATATTAACCTTAGCATTTTGACGATACTCATTTTCAAGCATACTCATTTCATAGACATGTTTTTTTTAGACTTTGTTATAATATGTCAGTTTGGAAAACTTCCTCAAAAATTTTCTAATTTACAACTGTTATTATTATAGTTACCAAGAGTTAAAATTAAGTTATACATATTGAAAACAATACAAGACTATGTTAAATATTGTAAACCTTCACATTAGTGTTGTTGTTAAAATTATTTGACCTCAATTTATTTATTTTATTATTGACATACTCGTATTATTAAAAAAATATGAAAACAGTCACGGCTATTGTTTAATTATTACATTTCAATATTTCGAAATTCGAAAGTATTTATTATTTGTATAATTAATTTTGTTTTTATTTATTAATTTGGTTCTTTTATTTGATCAAATCATATAGCACCGAGTATAAAAATAAATTATGCTTTTATTGACCCATTAAAATATTTAATTTATTGTTTATGCTAATTTATTAAAAACTGGACATTATCAAATTCTTTTACCTTACAATTACTTTTATTATTTAATAATTAATACATATAAATATTGCATACAAATTTAAATGTTGCACAAATCAATTTTTTACATACATACTATTTCCTATTGTTAAGTTTTTGCCGATTAATAGCAAACATTCATTCACACGACTATAACGACAGCCACTATACTGTGAATTTATCTTTGCAACAAAATGAAACACCTAATTTATTTAAATACATCAAATATGATTTATATCTTTGATCACTCGCTAGTTTTTAAAAACGATATACTGCAAGTTAAGCAAAACTACAACTACGGACAATCACGACTATCTACGAACTTGAAACAAATTGTTTTATATTGCTATACATAGATTAGAAACTAACATAAAAACATCAAGAGTTTTATTATTAAATAATTGTTCAATCACTACACTTTCAAGGTAAACCGGAAAATGGAGTAATTATAAATACTTGTTACTAAATATCTGATTATCCATATAAGATTGTTATAGATTAAATTGGAAGAAATGTGCTAATAATAATTAATTGGTCTTGAATCTTACACACAATATGAAACTATTGTAAGTATATGGGTATTACGATAAAGCTATTAGGAAACTTGGGAAAATTGATTTTTGCTCTATTAATTCCCACTATTATCACTTCTATAAAAGCTAATGAATCAAACCTCATGCATATATCGTCTTTGGCTCTAGTAAAGGTTTAATCTCTGTCATAGTATCATAATATTAAGTTAAAAATGTATAGAGTAAGTTATCTCAAATTCAATACTTAAATTGTACTTTTTGTCATTTTCATTGTAAGCTCTAAAGCTACAAAAACATACGTATTTCTGTTCTCTCTGAGTAGAGTGTTAAGCATGCTTTGAATTTATTTTAAATATATCTATGTAATTTAATGCTTCCTATATAATTTAAATTCTAAGCAAAACTCTCGAATTCAACTTCTATAAGAAGCAAAGATTATATATCTTTATAAAAGGAAAAGTTATTATCTATTTATCTTTATTAAAAAAAGATTCATTATCAACTAAGGAAATTAATTTATTTTTCAGCTAATAGCGCTATGCACTTTACTATCGGCCAGTAATGCATTATTTCATCATCATCACCATGCTGTATCACATCAGGAAGTGATCAAACACGATGGACCTCACCATCCAGTACATATACATCATCCGGTACCTGTTCATCATGTGCCCATCTTGCATCATGTACCAGTAGCACCAATCCATCATGTTCCTCACCATGTGCCACACCATATACCGCACCATGTTCCACATCATGATCATTATGTGAGTAAATGTTTTTGACAATTATCTATTTCAAAAAGTTTTATTTTTTTGGGCATGTCACATAAAATCTTCACCCGTTAAACCTGTTTTGGGAACTCTTTTCTTTCCGAATACGTTATAACTCAAAAGTATTCCGTTAGAGTTATAATTAAGGTCCATTAAAGTTTAAAGATAAATTCCATCACTAAGAAAGTAAAATTTTAATTCAAAAAGCTATTTAGAGCATATTTTTAATCAAAATATGTATAGTTTTCGGAATATTGTTTTCTTTATGAATTATATTATGAATAACCATTGAAATTGATTTAAATACAGATTTACTAATTTTATTTGTTACTAACGAGAACCTATGATAATAGAATTCCGTCCTTCTCCTTAAAGAGATCCTTTAGAAGATTCTCTCTTTAAATTTCATTTTTACGTTTTTGTTTCATTTAAACTTAAATTGACCTAGCTTCGCTGTAGTAAGATCAAGTAGTCAACTAGGTTATAGCTGCTTTGTTGGTCTTTGGTATCTTAAACTATTAGTTAAACTATCGGTAATGACTATTAAAATATACTAACATAAGTATATTAGTATAATTTATTACCATTTATCTGACCACGATTGATTAGAGCTTTGAGGCGTGAAAAGGTGTTTAACAAACTTTTTTAATATTTCGTATAAAAAAATTACACAATATGATTAAATATAACTAAAGCTAAATATTTAATGTAACTAAAACAAAATATATTACAAGGATTAATTAGAATCGAATGAATGGGATGGCGTAAAATTTTAAAATATTTTATTTTATAACTACTTTTGTGGGAATTTCCTTATGAAGTTTTGTTCTACTGTTATATGACAGTTATGTAAAAATAATTATAACGATCTTTTATGTGTATTATGTGGCATAGTGACATCATATACTTTTTACTCAAGGTTGCAAACAATACAACGTGCTATGTATCAATGACGCCATTCAGTAAATGTTACGTTATTAAATTAAGAAACTTCTCCTATTCATTTCCTTAAGTACATAATTTATAAAATGAAAAGCTTCTAAAACCTTTTATAACTATTTAATTATAAACCAATATAAATAATTATTAAATAAAAAAAATACTTTCTTAGATTTACGCGAATGTTTGGCATTATTAAGTTGTAACAACTATACATTCAAGACATATGTAACACCTCAGTCTCTCCCGTGACCATGGATGCTGTAAAGCATTCGAAACGTCGGGAACCAAAAATCAAAATAAATCTGCGAAATAATCCGAAAAGATAGTTTTATTTAATAATAAAAAAAATGTAAATCTAGTTCCAAGGATTAAGTTACTACATCATCTTGTTTTTTTGAATTTTTATGGAATTAATGATATTATTAAGTCCAATCAATATAGACATAAAAAGTCTTTCTTTGCAAAAGGTCAAGAAACTCTAGTTTTTTACATTCGCACAGTGTCCTCAGTATTTTAAGTTTAAGATGATAAAAGTAGCACCAAAGATCAATTTCATGGAAATATTCTTATCCATATCATCTTTTCCTGCGTTGCGTAGATTATATATAGCTAAAATTACAAAGGATTCAAATTTGGTCAACCCTAGTGTATCGAAGCAGTATACCTTCAGATTTGCATATACAAAACGTCTATATGAAATCATTAATGCATTTCCCTATTATATAGTATGTACATACTACACATACTAATATTATTTACTTTATCACGATAAAGGTAAATGCACGAACGAACAGCAAACGGACCCTGTCACTGTTACTCAGACGTTTAACTAACCGTAACAATGCACGATGAAATCCTTTTAGCGCACTCTAGACTCTACTAGCATAACACAATAAAAAAATGCTTCCTCGTGTACAAACTGGTACAAGTTTTATTCTTTTCCACTAGCCTAATCATTAAATATTTGAATTCATTCATTCTAACTTGTAAAACTTAAGACTGGTATATTTAATTTATATTGATTTATTAATTTATATTAATATTTCAATCCAATAGTAATCATTAATTAATTCATTCAAATTTCATTCTATACTAATAGGAACCTAAAAATCTACATTCTTGAACGAATTAATTTCATACTTGACGTTATCCATATTTCCAAAATTAATATTATAAATGTAAAAGTGTGTGTTTTTTGTTTGTTTGTTTGTCTTTCTTTCACGTCGAAATGGCTTGGCGGATTGGCGAGATTTTTATGTAGAGATAGTTGGAGGGCTGGAGAGTGACAAAGGCTACTTTTTACCGCGGCAGATTACCTCTTTCCCACGGGAAAACACGTTATGATACAATTCAAAAAATTATTTATGATCAGAATTACTTGAAACTTGGTATTAATACTCTTCAATACAATTAATTAAATATGTGTTTTAGCATTTTGCCAAATTCATCCCATTATGGTGTAAAATAGCGTTTAAAAGTTCGTATGAAACCTACCTTTTTAGAGTTTTTTTTTGTAGTTTTAACGCGAGCGAAGCCGCGGGTTCTTCCAGTTAGAAATAAATAATACTTTCTTATATTTATATTCACGAATATTTAGCATTTTATATATGTAGATCAATCTTCTTGGAGTTAATCGCAATTTTATTTGATTTGTTATTCCCCTGATTAAGTAATATTTAATTTTAGATATTATTATTAGTGGTAACGCGCTCGCTTGGGAAACCGAGTGAAACAGGTTTAAATCGCACATCTGATATTTTCAAATGCCAATTATTTCTAACATGATTACCACTTGCCTTACGGTGAAGGAAAACATCGTGACATCAAGTTTTCGAAAGACATGTGAAGTACGCCAGCCCGCACTTGGCCAGCATATTGGACTATGGCCTGGTCCCCCTCGTATTGAAGGGAGGCCCGTGCACAGCAGTGGAACGTTAAAAAGGGCTGAATATTTAGATAGACTATTATTAAGATTGTTAAAATATTTTTAAGTTATTTAAAACTTTATTAAGTTTTTTTTATTGTCGTTATATTTATAAATTTGAAATATTTATTAACATTGGGTTGATATTATTTTGACCGAACATAAAGAACTAACTGTTATTATAACTTAACATATATGTACATATATACTTTTCAGTCATTCCCAGAATACAAGTTCGCGTATTCGGTTCGCGACCATCACACTGGTGACGTGAAGTCGCAGCACGAACACCGCCACGGTGATGTCGTCCACGGGGGATACGAGCTGGTCGAGCCAGACGGTCGTTACAGAAAAGTGGAATACAAGGCGGATGATCACACTGGGTAAATAAAATGATAAGTGGATAAATAAGTAAAAAACTAAATAATTTAGCATAAAAGAACTTTTAGTGTGTATGGGTGAGACTGCGTGTTCATTGTTGTTGTGTATGCAGGGATAACCAAACGTCCAAAGTTACATTTATTTTTTATACTATATCCTAACACAATATATACTTTTATAAGAATATAAATAATAATACATATAAGCGAATCAGTAGGCAGTTACGGGACAACTGCGGTTAAAGGCGGGATACAAGTATATATTATTATAATAAATAGCTAAAATGTGTGCATCAGCACTGCCATTACAATCTGAATATGATGATGATGCCAGAATAATTATAAGTGGGACTTTTATTGGCAACTACTAAGACATTTGCATTTGGGCTTATTTTATTTAGTTGTTGATGTTTATTCTTTAAAAAAGCGTGTTTTTTTTAAATTTCTTATTGAAATATAAAGAAAGGCCATATCAAAAAAATCAGGTCGAAACTATCTATACTATACTACACAATTCATAAATAATATTTTAAATTACTACATATAATATTAACTAGTGTAAATAAAAAAGCACTTTGGAGATTTTATCCATACTAATATTATTAATTTAAAAGAGTTTTTTTGTTTGTTGGTTTGTCCTTCTTTCACGTCGAAACAGAGTGACGGATTGGAATGATTTTTTGTGTGGCGATAGTTGAAGGGCTGAAGAGTGACGTAGGCTACTTTTTACCACGGGAGATTATCTCATTCCCATGGCAAAATACGTTATAATACAACCTAAAAAATTGTTTATGATCAGAATTACTTTAAACTTAGTAATAATGCTCTTCAATAGAAATAAATAAATATGTATTTTAGCATTTTTCGAAATTCGTCCCATGAGGGGATAAAATAGGGGACGAAAGTTTGTATGACGTCTAAATTTTTAGAGTTTTTGTTCTTTGTAGTTTTAGCGCGAGCGAAGCCGCGGATTCTCCTAGTATAATATAATAAAATAGCTAATTCATTAAGTTGTTCACTAAAAATGAATAGAATTAAAACTTAATATAAAATTAAAACTGACTAAAATTCAATGCACTAAATAGTAAAAAATAACTAAGGTAATGAATATCGTTGACACTACGAATGTATGTATGTATAGGTATCAAATATTTTTTAATCAGTCAATTCAATTCAATTCAAAATTCAATTTTTATTTTATAGTGCCATACAATAAATATATACTTTTTTTCTATATAATTAACGTAGCATTTTATTATAAGATAATTCATAAAAATATTAGAAATATATATAAAAACTTATGTTACTGTTTGGATAATTAGACCAATAAATAAAAGCTATAAAAAAATAAACACTCATAACGAGTAGTGTATTGTGTAATTATGACGAATAATTTTACTTGTAAGTCCTCGTAACATTTAACTGTTTAAAATAAAAAAAATATATTATTATTCAATCAATCTATGATATGCAAAAAAGGAAACCGTCCGTTACTGATCGGAAATTTATGATAAAAAACGATTTGCCGTAATTTATTTATAAGCATAATATGAGTTATGAGTAGGTACAGTTAATCTACACATATAATAAAATTGTAACTAAGCTGAATCTGTAAATTAGATATTTTTTTAGAAAATCTTATTGAAATAGTCATTATTATCAATACAGAGGCCGAATCTATAGTTTTTAGATTTTTTATCTGTCTGTCTGTTACCGCATCACGAGAAAACTACTGGACAGATATTGATGAAATTTGGTATGATGATAGCTGGTTATCCGAGTCAACATATAGAATACTTTTTACTGCGGGAAAATGTGTCATTTCTGAGAAAAAATACAAAAACTGTATAGTATACTAATATGGAAAACCTAAGAATTTGGTTTTTGGTCGCGGGCGAAGCCACGGGCAATGCTAGTATATTATATATTAACGATTTGAATACATATAAGTAATCTTTTCTTTTTATATGAAAAATAAGTAAAAGTAAACTGACAGTATACTATTGGTAAAATGTTTTTTTTTTAATTTGATCAATTGATTTTAGCCAGACATTTGGCTTTAATTTTCTCCTACATTTTATTCAAAATAATATTTTGTCGCGTGAAAAAGCATGAGAAGAAAATCAGTTACAAATAATAATGGGATATGGAAAAAACACGTTCTCTGGTCGGCAAATGTTAACAAACTCTGATTATAATTGTATATCTCGTATTTGCTTTCAGTTTCAACGCCGTTGTCCACCACTCCTCACCCCATCATCATGTTCATCTGGAACACCATATTTGATTAAAAAGAAACTTGAACATAATGCTGAAAGACTGAATGACCATAACACTTATTTGTAGATTGTATGAACAAAGTTTAATAAAGATAGCGCTATTTTATTAAAGTTTTTCGTTTTCATCGATAAACCCTTTCTTTTTTATTACATAGTCATAAAGTCCAAGACTAAAAAAATATTTAATTTACAGCGTATCAGGTTATTTAATAAAATAAAATGAACACAATATACATATATAACATTATTTTCACCTAGTGATTGAATTGTTAAATTTTCAAAACATTTAATCAAAAGTTTTAGCAAGTATTCTAGTAACAATTTTTTTTATTTTTAGATAAAAATGATGTTGTACCTAAAACAGCTCCGAAGGATTTTCCAGGAAAACAAATATTTGGCAATTAACAATTATATTTCTCGCTTTTTCTGTTGACTCATTTTACATTTATATTTTTATATTCTTATCTTATATAATGCGAATCACCGACTGTCCACTTGACATATCAAAAATCTGTTGTCAAAATCTACAAACTGGCACATAAAATAACTGAATGTTACATACCAAAATATCAATCTGGATTTGTAGAGGAGACGGCACTAAGACAGCAGTTTAAAATATTACTGAAAATTTGTCTCAGGCTTCGACTTTGACTGTCGTCTTCGCGAATTACTATTGGTAAAACTAACAGCATTATGGCATTTCCGATACTTGCCAATGATTCACGTGTTTTCTAGATAAGGAAAAGGAGTTGATACTGATGGTAACGACAGTGATCCCGATTCTTTTACATTACTCACTGCAAACCTATCTGACTGCATACATTTCTATATCACTTGTATGTCGATGACACCCAATTGTATTATTCATTTATAAGTTATCATTATTATTAGTTATCTACTTAATCAGCCGTACAAGACTTAAGCTGGGATCTAGAGCGTATATTTAATTGGTAAACCGAAAATTAATGCACTGAATCCATCTAAGTCACAAGCATGAGCGGCAGCAGAATTTTTCCAGGAAGGTGCATCTACTTCTTCACATTAAACTAACTAAACTAATAAATAATAATACTTTATAGTATTTATTTATATTTAATTTATCTTTTTTTTTTGGCCGATATATAAATTTAAACATAGATTTTACTAATACACTTTTATTTATTTAATTTTTTCTGTATATTTTCCTTCATGGCAAGGGGGTGTAAGTGCACCCCTTACTGCACCTCGTCGCCCATGATCACAAGTATTAGTTCTAGGTACAAAGCTACAAATTGAATGGATTACGGAATGAAATGAATAAATAAAATTAAACAGCATTGTAATTAAAAAAGGAAAAGCCGCTAGAAATCGTGGTTTAATTATTGATCGCGATCAAAAATACATGAAAAAAAATACTATAAAAATAAGCAATGCGTTTAATAAAAACAAAACTTGTACTAAATCAGATCATCCATAAAGCAAGGTCTAATGCTCGTAGATTCACATGTAATTTTTATTTTTGATGATTTTCTTCTAGCCGATTTCGGCTACGGCGGCCAATCTCATTGAGACTAGCCAACTGCGCAGGAGATATTATAGTGCACAAGTGAACGCGCAGACACAACGTGCACTCTCTATTCCTGTCACTCTCATACTTCGGTGGGACGACTGCTCGACACGACCAGTGAGAGTTAAGGCGCAGGACCGACGGCTTTACGTGCTCTCCGAGGCACGGGGGTGAAAACCGCCAACTTCCCAACTCCGGGCTGTTACTGAGACTTACTATACAGAAAGACTCAATAACTTATCTTGGCCCGACCCGGGACTCGAACCCAGGGCCTCCGAGTGTGCAGCCGTACATGCTAGCCACTACACCACCGAGGCAGTTTTTTTTAATTATTACTGCAGTCCAGTGCAGAATACAGGCATTCTCATCTCGTTAAATTTTACTACGACGTATCCAAAAGGGAAAAATATATGTAGGTACATACATAACTTATATTAACCGAAAGTGTTTTCTAAACATGAGGGAAAAGTTAGTATGCTCGTTTGATTCAGAGATTGTTGTAGAAAAAAAACAGAATATCTGTTCAAAAACTTAAAACAGCCACATTATGATATTTGAAATCTTTGTTCTAGCTATTAACCTAGTAAAAATGCCTTCTCACGCTATGTCACGCAATCGAGGAAGCTTCAAGCTTCGGCTTTAAATATGCTTTAAATATTTTAATATTTGAAATGATCTTCCTTCAGCACAACGGCATAAAGGGAGTGTGAGTAAATTTAAAAACGTATACCTAAGTGCGGAAGGAGCTAGGTATAATTAAAATTAAAGCAGAGTTCGAAATTTCGATCTTAGCAGCATCAACTGAATTACCATTAGATAGAATTATTTAATCCCTCAACGACATTTACCTAGAGGTGTTAAGCCAAATTGAAGAATTGTGTTCTGTATACTGTTTTATATACGGCAATTAATGTATTTATATTTTTATTTATTTACAATATATTATAAGTAGGTAAAATTTGTGAATCTGTATTTAATAGGTCGGTAGGTAATCTCTAAAACTACTGATTCGATTCTGAAAATTATCTATACATATAATAAAATTCTAACTAAGCCGAATCTGTACATTAAATATTTTTTGGAAAATCTTATTGAAATAGACATTAATATCGACACAGAGGCCGACTCTATAGTTTTTATAATTTTTGTCTGTCTGTCTGTCTGTCACCGCATCACAGAAAAACCACTGGAGGGATTTTTATGAAATTTGGTATGGTGATAGCTGGTTATAAAATATCTCATTTCTGAGAAAAAATATAAAAACTGCAATGTACGAGTATACTAATATGTAAAACCTAAGACTTCGGTTTTTGGTCATCTGAACGCGGGCGGAAAGAAGTAAATTGTGCCCAAAGGCACTCCTAGAAGCCACAAAAATAAAGAATTGAATTGAATTGAAAAGGAATTATTTGTATTTTTTTCCTTTTTTCCTTAGATGAAATTTTGAATGTCAAATAATGTATCACAAATGTCGACCCGAGTAATAAATAATTATTAATTATCACTACATGTCAAAATCTGTTATGTATTTTTTGCGTAAAAAGCTAATACACAAACATACTAAAATTTCAACAACTATTATTTTGGGATCTACATTCTATACGTAATAAGTAAAAGTGAGTTATTTTAAATAATATTTTATATACCGATTACACTTTATTTCTATTTTATTAGATGTGCAGATAAATATTGCCTGTTCTTTTACATCAGACAGAAATACAAGCTGTAAACTTTGCTTTCGTAAAAAATTAGGCGTAAGAAGTACATATATGTACCTACATATTTATTTATTGGTAATCTTACAGTGTTACAAAAATAATAAAATACAGTTTGAGCATAAAGATATTAATAAATATGGCCAAAATTGTGTCTGTGTGTGTGTGTGTGTGTGTGTGTGTGTATTCTGTGTGTGTATGTGTGTGTGTGTGTGTGTATGTGTGAGTATATGTGTGTATGTGTAACGGTATGAGTCTATGATAGTTATGAACATATTTACAGTTATGTATACCTATGTATATAGATTATGGGTATGTAAAGACATTAAGAATTTTCATTTTTTTAAGAACGTGTTTAGAGAGATTAAATATGTCTAAGTCACTGTAATATTTGTTATAGGTTCGTATCAGACGCGGTATGATGCCATTTTTAGTATATAGTGTTTTTTTGGTGGTTCGTATAATAGGGCGGTATGTCGCGTTCTTAATTTTGGCACATGTAGTGATATATTTGACAGCAAATCAGGACAATCAATTCTGCAAGTTAAAATTGCTTGTAACAAAATAATGTCACTTTGTGTGCGTCTATGTTCAAGTCTTTCAATGCCATAATGTTTGTATGCACTTTGGTTTGCATCAAAGTATTTAAAATCCTTGAATGTATTGATAGAGACAGTATTTGAATGACTATGTATTACACAGGATAAGTGTTTGATTAATCATACAGAGGTAAAATAAGAAAGCACATCAACCTATTGCTGCGTAAAAGCAGCACAGATTAGCAAATACATTTCGCATTATACAATACTCTACATTGTATAGAAATATTAGTAAAGACTCAATACATACCTGATACCAGTATGTAAACTTATACACAGGTAAGTCATAGTCATTACGTACAATCGAAATACCCACTATTTACATATTTAATAATACAGTACCTAAACAATGTAAATCTTACTGAACCATGAAATTGTTTAATAATAATAAAATGAATTGTGCGTACAGAATAAACTCAATGTTCGTAGTTTCTAGTTTATATGATTACTAATATTTATTAAAATTACTGACAGAATGACAAATTATAGCATAATTTAAATTATTATAGTACAAATAACACTCGGCACGCCCAAAAGCCACAAAAAAATATTATAAACTAGCGGACCCGACAGACGTTGTCCTGTCTACACGTTTATATTGAACATTTCAACCTTTTTTTAACAATTTTTTTGATGCAAATTATTATTCAAATTGTGAATCTAAACCATTCCCAGATCCCCTTGAACACACACAAAAAATTTCATCAAAATCGGTCCAGTCGTTTGAGAGAAGTTCAGTGACATACACACTCACAGAAGAATTATATATATATTATAAATATAAATAGAATAATAAAATGTATGAAATTAAGTTAAAATATACGTATATATAAAAAAATGTTCGAGTAAGATATTTTTAGGATAACAATTATTAACGAAAGTTTCAAAAAAATATAATAGATAATTATTATACAATATTATATCGTCTACGGTAAACTTACATAATTTTAATTCCAGTACGAGTATATGACCATATTAATCGTGAATATATATATATATATATATATATATATATATATATATATATATATATATATATTAAATGTCATGATATGAAAATTGAGTGAGTGAAATAGTTTTTATCCCCGAAATTATCCCCTTAAGGGGGTGAAAATGGGAATGAAAGTTTGTATTGGGAAGCAAGCTAGGGACGAACCCGAGCGAAGCGAGTGTGATTCGCTAGCTTAAGATAAAAAATAGTCTCAAAATCACTAATCAAAATTAAAATATCATTATATTTTATAACAAGGTATAACTTACATAATTAGCTACATAATGTTAAATTATAGGAAAAGATTGATTATGTTAAGTTGTAATTAAAAATGATTATCGCGGTATTCCTACTCTATTTTATAATGATTTTATTTGATTGAATACGAAAATATTATAATATTCTAAGGTTAAGAAAATTGTTCTATTTTTTATATCGAATAATTATTTTTATTCAAACACGCCCATTTAATAGTTAATCTGTGAAACTGCATAATTGCTGTTATATTGATTTCTTGTAGGAAACTGAAGATTAAAATGAATAGCAATATTTGTGTATAAATACACGAGATAGCGTGTTATCAGTTAAGTTAGCATCTTCTATCGAACGCAAAAATAAGCGATGATTTGGAAGGTAATTTTTAATAATAATAATAAATTTTAACAATCCCATCTTTTTTGTTTCTTCTTTTTTAAATAATAAAAGTTAAATTAATTAAAAATTAAACGTATTTTAAATATTACTTTTAGGTCTTTACATTTTTTGGCTTCGCGCTTTTAGCGTTTAGTGAAGCCCGACCACCTATTTCAGAACAAAAAGTGAAAATTGAGACTCATGAAAAGGTTTCACATATTGGATCTCATAAACCTGAGCATCATGAGGTATACGTAAGTTTCTTGTATATATTATTTTTTTGTATTAAAAAAATGTGAAAGGTATAAAAAAAATCACATAACCAATACTTATTCAATTATAAAAAAACTCTCCTTTCGAATTTCCTTTGACATTTTTATTTGAATTTCGTATATTTCCAAATATTTGTTTGATGTTACATATACATATAATATCATGTACTTATATTATATAAAGTATTTTTCTACCAAAAATTAAGTATTTAATGTTAAAACTGATTTTAAACGTAACTATAATATATTTATTTTAATAAAGTAATTATAATAATAATTTTATCACTCTAATTAATTTTAAAGGCTTGGGCGTATCCATCTTATGAATTCAAGTACGAAGTTAATGACCCTCACACTCATGACTTCAAAGGACACGAAGAAACCCGACAAGGTGACGAAGTAAAAGGACATTACTGGCTTATACAACCAGACGGTTACAAGCGAACCGTTAATTACCATGTTGATAAAAACAGCGGGTAAGATCCATTTTCATTTAATTGTTTTTATTTGTGTGTAGGCAGTGATAACGTGGTCGCTTGGAAAACCGAGTACAGTGGGTGCAAAATTGCGGGTCCCGCACCTCTGAACGTCAATTTCAACGAAAGATTTCCAACATGATTTCCTCTTATCTTACGGTAAAGGAAAACATGTTTGAGAGAATCTATCAAGTTTTCGAAAGACAAGTGCAGTCCGCCAACCCGTACTTGATCAGCATAGTGGACTTTGCTTCGTATGAAATGGAAGCCATTCATAACTTTGACATAGGCTAGCATGTACTTACTGCCGTTCCAGAACTCAGTTACTATTCCTCGTTCGTGATGGTTCCTATCCGTTGTGGATAAATTCTCCGGAGCTGGGACATTCAGGCTTATACACTTCCGTAACTCGGACAGTATGTTGACCCGTCGGCGTTGCGTCTGATCTCTAACCGATCATGCGGATATGTCATCCCTCCGATCATAGAGAGTGAAAAGAATAGAGATTGCAACTATGTTTGCACACACTTTTGTGCACTGCAATATCTCCTGCACACATGGCTAATCCTTGTGGTCTAGTAGCTAGCATGTACAGGTGCAGATCCCGAGGTCTTAGATCGGGTCTAGTTTAGCAAGTAACATTTTCTGCCAAGAATTTCTCAGTAAAAGCCTGGAATTGAGAGATTGGAGGTGTTTCATCCCCTTGCCTCGGAGAACACGTAGAGCCGTCGGTTCTGCGCCTGATATTTCACCGGTCGTGCCAAATTATCGTCCCACTGGACAAAAAGCATCTCTTTTATGCATCATAATTTCTCCTGCGTAGATGGATAGTCTTTGGATTGGCCGTCGTGACCGAACTCAGTCAAAAGGACGTACAATTGTATGTACATATATATGTATGTATATCCGTGATTTAAATAATAAATCAATCAATTTTAACGGTTGTATCACTAATTTTATCGATATTCTTACAATGAGTTATTAAAGAACACAACAGTAGACATATATGTGCGTATATATGACCACATGTTTGGCTTAGTTCGTGGTGTCAGTCATGGATATTTATATTTATACTATGTATGTATTTAAAGTTATATATGTATGTGTAGTGTATCAACTATCTGGTATCCATAGCACAAGCCTCGTAGCGTACCATGGAACTAGACGGTGCTGTGTGCTTAATATCCCGATATATTTATACATATATATTTACAAGCGTAAATGCACACTAATGCCGAGTAAAATATTTTATTACAATTATACTAATACGCTAATAAAAAAACCCGTAATTAAACAATATTTCTAAATTAATATAAAATCCTCATATCATAGTATTATAAAATACGCATTTTATGTAGGCCATTATTTAAAAAGAAAAACATGTTAATGTAACAACACACTTTATTTCTCAGATTCAAAGCACACGTTGACTACACTAAGCTACATCATAAATTGTCCGAAGAAAATGCAGGTGAGGAGGAAAATTCGAACGAGGGTGGCGAATCAAACGACAATAGCGAAGATGGAAGTAATGAGAATATAAGTAAAGAAGAAGCGCATGTTCCTAACACACACGAATTCAGTAGCGATAATGAAGGTGAATCAGCCAATCTCGATGATAATAGTGAACATGAAAGCTATCACGGTCATGGAACAGATAGGGATATATCGAGACGAGGTGACGTAAAATTTTGGGGACGAAAACGTGGGCGTGATGAATCCCACAAAAATCATAAGAACAATAATGAAGAAGATGAACAAGAAGCCAGAGGTAGTGACAATGGAGAAGAACAAGCTAGTGAAGAAAATGAAAGCATTCACCATGGCAAAGTAGAAGAACATAGTAGTGGAACTGATAGCGGCAATGACGGAAGTTCTGCTGTAGAAAATAAAAGCGAAAAACATGTCATAAAACATGAATATCATGTAATTATTCACCATCCTAAATATATACCAACTTCATACAAAAAACATTGAAATTAAAGAATAAAACTAAGTGATTTATTTATTATAAATATGTATGTCACTAATAAAGTATTTTCGGTCCTCCAATACAGGATCATAATGTAGCTGTATTGATAAGAAATACTATCAGCAATTATATATAAATAAAAAAAATCTATTTTCATTTATCTCTTTTCACTTTGATTTACTTTAATCAATTGAAATTTATTATGTTAATGTTCTTTTTTACAAGAGGTTTTTTTTAAGTTCTTTTTTGAAAGCAGGAAGCTTTAAATAAAAAAATATATATCCTACATGTTTTCCTACATTCCTACATGATTATATTCATATATATACAAATTTTTATTCTTTAAATAACTTTTTTAAGCTTAAATATTACAATATTCGTACAATTTATTTTGTCCTTAAAAAAATTAATGATTTTAATACATAATACACTTTTATACCTTTGTCAATTCTGGCCTAATTCTTCACTTTTATCTAAACTGCCTAGTGGTCGATATTCAGTCATAATCATTATTGGAAATTTGAGGAAAGCATATATGAATAGAGTTCACCTATCCCGATAAAAACAAAACTAAATGTTTCCAATTTCTTTTATTAATAAGACAAAACCTCATCAATAGCTAAGCTACTAAAAAAGAAAATCGGTTGAAAAAAAATATTAATATTTGTTAGTAATTGCCTATATATATATATATATATATACATATATATATACATATATATATATATATATATGTTATAGGAAAACCACGGGTTGAAATAAAATGATGTTCTTTTTTATCATAAAATCTATTTATTTAATACTGCATAGTGATAATTTTTATTCTTGACAAAAAAGTAAATGAATACGTAAATTATAATCGATATTAATTATTGCTTATAACATTAAATGCTTGAATGAACAATGAACTAAGAATTCTATTTAATATTGCTTAATGTGAAACAAATAGGTTATAACTCTGTAAATAAAATTTCATTTCAGGAGTAATACAATAAACATTAAAAAATCACATATCAAACTAGTTGCCGTCTCCGGCTTTACTGTGGCCGAAATATGATATGCATTTCATTAATTGTGTCATATTAGGAGCATTAATATTAGGTCTCAAGTAATCATAATAAAGTTAATAAACTCTGCCACCATTTTCCACTCCCTTGGTTGAAAAATCCGTTTTTATTGATCGTAAATAATAAACAGTGTTGTACTTCGAAATTTCAGCTCTCTAGCTCAATTGGTTATTGTCTAGGCCTTGATTTTGATGAATCTGTCCGTTTATATGTATAGATTATGATATATGTATACCGGTTTATATAAAATATATGTACATAATAACGTTAAAATGTTCTATTCTAAAATTATTTAATAATTATTAGATTCCTTAAAATTTAAGTTCCCTCTGAAAATACGAGTTTAAGCTAATTAATGAAGTACAAATTAAGTTTTTAGTTTACACTTTAATTATAAATATAAATTAATACCAAGCATTTAATTACGTAAATTTTACCTTATACATGCGAAGTCTTCAATAATATGTTTTATTTACTACCTTTCTAGACAATTATATAATTCGTATATTCTGTTCTTCCTAATAAGAGTTAGTTGTTTTGAGTTATGTCAGAATGATGAATTACGAATGTATATTGTTCATCAGGTTGTAGTTTAGAATAAATATTAACTGTAAATGGTACCTGTATACTGTTGCTATAAATTTCACATTATAAAATATATTTTTATTTCAAGTTTAGGTACTTTTAGCATCCTTTCTTCTGATTTATTTAAATTTCCTGAAAAAAAAAATACCTACACATATAAATTAGTATCTTTTTTCCTACATTTATTTTACTTATAAAAATAAACGGTGATACAGTGAAACAAACATTATCTAAGACAATTTAAAAATATTCTATAAATGCCATAATAGTATGAGAATAACATTCTCCTTTCATGAACACTACGCAGGCGTGGTCGAAGGCGATCGTAGAGTAAGTGAAGTAATTCATTTTTTTATCAATTCGTAACATGAATACAAACACGCCCATTAATACTTAAATCGTGGAACAATATAATTGCCTAAGGAAAGTGAAGAGTGAAAAAACCGGCCTTTCTGTATATATAGACCTGATAGCTGCCTGTCAGCTAAGTTGCCATCGTCAATTGTTAGGGGAATCAAGGGTCATGATTTGGAAGGCAAGTAGTGATGACCTAAATATATTTCTTTACCTCTAATGGATTCGACTTTATAAAAATATAATTTAAATTTAATATTTACAAGTACATTAATTAGGATATTAATGATTTTTTATACCTTGTTTAGACAGTTTTGGTGATCAGTTTAGCAAACTATGTGCTATGTGAACATGGCGCAACATCTGAGCAAAGGGTACAAGTACATCACTCAAAATCTGAAAGTTACAGCCACCATGATGGAGACAAAAAGTCGGAGCATCATGAAGAATACGTAAGTATTTGTGATTGTTTATCGGACATACACACCAACCACGGAAAATGCTTGTATTTCTTTGGTTTGGAAAACTAATTTTAACTATCTAGATACTAAGTTTTGGAAGGTAATTTATACGATGTATATATGTATTTTGTACGTTAACATTTCGTATATCACAATATTTATTTATATTTATTAAATGTCTACAGATTTTAAGACCTAGATAGGCATTGTTACTGCAAACAGCATGTTAATTAAAAATGACTAATTGAATGAGATGATGTTTTTGCATGATTGGTTAGCAAACTGAAAAGTAGAAATGCATGTCATTAAGAGATAGGTTAAGAGATTTAGAAGTATATATTATAATTAATTCTTAATATATGTTTATCGAATCATTTTTATCGAATATTTTTTTAGTATAATCATCTACAAATGTCAAAAAAATTATGTTATAGAGAAAACTTTTTAAACATATTCATTAAAGACTCTTATGGCGCTTTATATATAACAATGATAGGGAATTTTTTTTCAAAAGTAATAGATATTTCATATCACAAATTGTTGATAGCAAAACTCACTGCATTACCTGTATCTATATAATTAGATAACGTTTAAACTTAAAATAAAGTAAGTCCCATGGATAATATAACGTATACGTAAATCTACTGCTAAATAATAATAATGTTCTACTGAACGAATTCGGCGGCAGACAATCTCACAGAGCACTCTGCGCAGAAGATAATATTATAGGAATTGGGGGGGAGGGGGACTAACAACGCCAACTTCTTTACTCCAGGGTTTACTTAGAACTTCTTATCAGTAACTACTACATGAGTCGACTTGGGCCTTGAAGCCTCCAGACCGCCACCGACAGCAGTTGCACAAGCTAGCTACTAGACCCACGTGACTTTCAATTTCTGAATACAAAGAATGTTACATATGAGTATAAGTACTCAAAAAACTCTGATAATGTATACAAAAAAAATAGAATGTCATAAAAAAATTATTATATTTATGAAATTAGTGATAATGATGTTCTCCTGACCAATTCCGGCCACGTCAGCCAATCTCGTTGAGACTAGTCAACTGCGCAGGAGATGTTACAGTACACAAGTGTACGCGCAGACCCAGGTGCACTCTCTATTCCTGTCACTCTCATACTCCCAACTCCGGGCTGTTACTAAGGCTTACTATACAGAAAGACTCAATAACTAAACTTGGCACGACCCGGGACTCGAACCCAGGACCACCGGATGAGCAGCCGTACATTCTAGCCACTACACCACCGAGGCAGTTATAAATTAGTATACATATATAAAATTGATAACACATAGTTTACTATAATCACCTTAAATTTTGGAAGTAGTATGTATGTATGTATATATAAATGACTAAATACTATTTCAAAAACAATACTAAGTTGATTGATGTGCAATTGGCAGTAGATACATGTTACAAGAACAGTGTAATAACAACTTACTGTTGCATGAAAATGGCCTAAATTGAAACAATTTTACTACAAGCATAATCACCTGAATAACAATTATTTTAAATAGAAATCAAACCGTCTCTACAAAATTTCTAATAAAAAAAAATCACTGTATTTCGCATGTGTATAATTTTATATAAAAAATTGAACTGTATGTACAATTTTATTTCTATAGGCCTGGGCGTATCCTTCCTATGAATTCTCATACAAAGTAAATGATCCCCATACACATGATATAAAAGGTCAACATGAAAAGAGGCATGGTGATGAAGTTAAAGGAATTTATTGGTTGTTGGATCCGAACGGTTATAAACGTACTGTAAATTATCACGCAGATGATCATAAAGGGTAAGAAAATTCATTTTAAACATGAGTTTAATAGAAATGCTTATTGTGTCTAATAATTTTTATTCTCAATTTTAGATTTAATGCTCAAGTTGACTACTCTCATGAAAAACATAATGAACATGGCTATAAAAACCAATATAGTGTTTATGAAGAACAATCTGAGGATAAAGATCAAAATAAAAATGAAGAAAGCAACGATGACACGAACAAAGAATCTAATGGTGAACGTAAAGACCAAAATAATGAAGGTGAAAGTAATCAAAATGAAAATAAAGAAGAAAGTGAGCAAAATAATGAGAAAAACTTAGAAGAAAACAATTCTAACAGTGAGAATAATAAAAACGAACAAGACGAAGATAAATACAAAAATAGTGAAAGAAATGTTGCTGAAAGAAGTTGGATTGAGAAAGATGAGGGTGAAAATATTGAAATTGTAAGTGAAACAGATGAATACAATATAAACAAAGATGAAAAACCTGAAAATATGCGACATAAGCAGAAAGATCAAAATGTAGACAAAGATCATAATGGAAACAGTGACAAGACTGAAAACGATAATTTTCAGCAAGACAATAGAAAGCGAACGAATAAAAACGGAAAAGATAATGAACAAAATAATAAAAGTGGTCATATTAGACAAGAAAAGAAAAAAAATCATAACAAAAATGGTAGAATAAATGAAAACCACGATAATAATAGACGCAAGGAAGCAAATACTAAGAATAATGAAAATAAAAGATATAAAGAACAAAACAAGAAAAGTAAAAATAATAATATTCAGAAAGATTCCAACAAAGATAATAATAAAAAGAATCAGGAAATAGATAACATTCGTTTCATGAAATTGGATGCTAGTGAAAATGAATATAGTCAAAACACCGGCGAACATAAAAGTCAAATTTACGAACATCGTATTTATATAAATCATCCCAAATTTCCCTCCTCAGCTCCAATAGGAAAAAAACATAAACATTAGTGTAGCGATTACTGCTATAGATTTTTGTGTATTATTTATTATAATAATTAAAAATATATATGATGTTTCTTTGCACCACAACCTTCAAAGTTTTTGATTACTCTTATGAATTCTCAATGTATATAAAAAAAATTCTCTTCAGGTATAAAAACGAGCACTTTTCTTTAAACGTTTTACACGTACATCCTATAAGGTGTCGTATTATGCGTAGGGCCTATAATGAAAGACCTACGTGTATAGTATAAGAATGGTTTCAGAATGCTGATGGGGCTGCTTCGCTACTGTAGTGCGTCGCAGATGTTTGCGGAAGCTTATACCGATGATTTCTATGCACTAATGAGAAAACGATCTTCATCTGTAAAGAGAATAATATGCGAGAGCTCTCACAATATTCTGAAATCATTATCAGATAAATGGGAAAATCCTTTTAAGAAGCATTGGTTCAGTATGTGTGCTCTCAGAGCCCGATTAATTGTTAATAAATAAAATAAAATAATTAAATTTAACATATGTATAATACAAAAATAAATCAAGGAAAGGAAATCATTTTAAGTTATTAAATTAAATTATTTGCTTCGGTTAACAATCTGATTAACGTTATTAACAACCGTAAACCCTGTTTATAATCTGCTCATCTATAATGTTGTGACTTAATTAAACAATAAACATCATCGTTGTATACAATTCAGTCTCTATACGAAAAATGCCCAGTTTAAACAATGGTATGGTTAATATTGGTAAATAACAGTTTAGACTTGTATAAATACAGAAAAATTGTTTCCATGGACTTCTAAATTTAGAAATTAACTACTAGAGCAAAGTGTAATTTTTGAGTGCTTGCTAACATTTGTAGATTAGGCGTGTCTTTTCTAGGGACCTTATTTAGATAATACTTTAAAATAGAACCTATATAATTACATATATAATTATATAATTTGATATTTAACCCTTCTATTAAAATGATCTTAATAATAATAAAATGCCCTACTTATGTAAAAAAGTGAATTCTTTGCTGCTTTTAAACAGGTGGATTGTGGACTTACCAGCAGGCTCACTAGGCTAGAGCCTAGTGCGGCAGATTTTAGGGGCGACAAATTTGGGCCAAACCTAACCAAACCAAAGTTACCTAAAGTTTCATACTTAAATAATATTATGTCCACACAAACAATTCAACATGTAATATGGTTCACCACTAAGACAAATTTTTCAACAATTTACTTAATGTTAGTTCAAGAAATTATAATCCCATCGAAAACATAAATGTGAAAATGGTAGCCAAGTTCAATATTAAGAACGTAAAAAACGTATTATATGATCTGTGTCGAAACTTTTAAAGGAAACTTTTGAAAGGTACTTAGAGGGCTGGAGAGTGACATAGGCCACTTTTTCATGTGGGAAATTATCTAATATCCACAGGAAAACACGTTAAAATATAATCCAAGAAAAGTGTATGAATAGAATTACTTGAAACTTGGTATTAGTGTTCTTTAATAAAATTAAATAAATACGTGTTTAAGCATTTTTCGAAAATCATCCTATAAGGGGGTAAAATATGTATGAAAGTTTGTATGAAACTACCTTTTTAAAGACTTTTTTGCAGTTTTGACTTTTTTTGGTTCTGCTAGTTTTAAATAAAACTATCTTTTCGGATTATTTCGCGAATTTATTTTGATTTTTGGTTTCCGACGTTTCGAATGCTTTACAGCAATCAATTGTTGATTTTTATTTCTAAATATTTAAAAAAAAAATAAGTATTATAATTAAATATAGCAATATCATTTATTTAATTTTAGCTGTTATTATTATAAATATTACAATTTTTTAAAAACTTTATAAATTACTTATATTATTGAAAGTTGCTATTATGTACTTCATACTATTAAATAAATAATATATAGATATAATTAGACCATAATAGACTTCACTGATACAAAACCTAGAATGTGTACTTTGAGAATTAAATAATAATTTAGAATGCGAACATCCTTCCTTTACTTGTTGTATAATTACACAAATCCGCCTAATAATTGATTATTATTAAAAATCTATTTAACCTATTTGAAATATGAGCAGAAGTTAGTAGGACTTCGAACATACAACATGACTCAGGTTAGTGTTTTTAATCATCATATACTGTATACATATATAAAAATTCAGCAAACTTATAAATCTATACAGATAAATAAAATTGAAGTGTCTGTTTGTAATGTCAAAATAACAGCTCTTTACTAAATGGATATATACGGTATTTATAAGATAAACACAATTTTTAATTTTTTTATCTGTCTGTCTGTTTGTTCCGCCTAATTAAAATATACCTAGCGTACCTCGCTAGTTTTTAATAAAGTCACTTATTATTTTATATAATGGACATAAATATATTTTGATATTTAATTTATAAAGTTGGCTTGAAAATTTAGATTAACTATGAACTACTTTGCCAAGGTCACAGCACTAGTAGCGGTTTTGGTGATCACCGCCCTGGTAGATGAGACAAAAGCTGACCCATCTACCTTAAAAGCAATTCTGAATGAAGAATACTATTTAGGATCAGGCGCTGACCATTCCAAACACTCATTTAATAATCGAGTAAGTATTTTTTGTTTGCGACTATATAATATATATAAAATATATAAAAAATATTGTAGCCCAATTTAACTTTAATTATAACAAACAAAATACCATTAATAACGGGTTTTTTGTAGGATAAGGAGCTCGATTTCACTGAGGAAGAAAACAAGTACGTAAATATTATTGATTATAATTAACGTAACATAATTGAGCAAAGAAACTGTATTCGTATTTTATATAATATGATACATGTTGTACATGTACATATAAGTACGCATGATGGCTGAAAATTCAATTATATCATACTGTTACAGTAGTGATGTACATGATCTAACTAGCCTTGGAGTCGTATCTCAGTCATTTCAATACATGCATACCTATAATATCATATTATGTACTAGCATTGCCCGTGGCTCTGCCCGCGTTTAGATGACCAAAAACCAAATTCTTAGGTTTTACATATTAGTGTACTCTTACAATGCAGTTTTTGTATTATTCTCAGAAATTAGATATTCTCCCGCGGTAAAAAGTATCCTATATGTTGACCCGGCTAACCAGCTCAAACCATAACAAATTTCATCAAAATCCCTCCAGTGGTTTTTCTGTGATGCGGTAACAGACAGACAGACAGACAGACAGACAGACAGACAACAATTCTAAAAAGTATAGATTCGGCCTTGTATCGATAATAATGTGTATTACAATAAGATTTTCCAAAAAATATTTAATGTCCCGATTCGACTTAGATACAATTTTATTACATGTATAGATGACAATAAAACTATTTGGTTGGTCTAGTGGCTAGTTTATAAGTCTGCAGATCCGGAGATTCAGGGATCGAATCGCGGTTGGACAACGTACAATTAATGAGATTTTCTGTCAACAAATTCTCAGTAAGGTTTGGAGAGTTGTTAGAATTTTAACTAATTAATTATGTCTTTAATAACTTCAGTCATGACAGGTATAAAAATACATATTTCTAAAAGAAAAAAAATGTAAGCAATAAATGACCTATCTTAACTATTACAGGATCGTGCAAGACGTCTTCAGTCCGGATTATTATGAGCCCAACATTATTTTGGATTTTAGATATATGAAATCAGGAGGCAGAGGATACGCTCGAAGTGATGGCGGACAAATATTAATTCTACCTAAACGACATCACATGCCTTCTCTGTACAACAACTATGATACTCTCATTGAGTATTTACGCCTTAAAAATTTAGAAGAAGCAAATAGACACTTGCTGTTCGAGGCAGATAATCACAGACATCATCAACAAAACTCTAGATCGGAGCACCAACACTCAAGATCGGAAGCTAAAAAGGAACACACAGAACATCATAAAAAGCATTAATCCGAAGCAGAGACATGATAGACTAAACACAAAAATTAAACATTTGTTTATTTTTTTGTGCTAAATGGTTAATTTGATTCTTAAAAAAATATTACAGTCACACAAAGATAATTATTATAATAAATCTATTCTGTTTGTATGTATATTTTTACTTTAATTGCTTATCCGAAGCACGCACGCGGCCTCGCTGATATGAATATCATTTTCAATAATAAAAGGATTAACTTCATCAATAAATATTACACTTTTATTATACAATATTTTTGTTTCTGAGTACATATATGTATGTTATACTAGCATTGCCCGCGGCTCCGCCCGCGTTTAGATGACCATTAACTAAATTCTTAGGTTTAACTTACATATTAGTATACTCTTATATTGCAGTTTTTGTATTTTTTCTCAGCAATGAGACATTCTACTGAGGTAAAAAGTATCCTATATATTGAACCGGATAACCAGCTATTACTATACCAAATTTCATCAAAATCCCTCCAGTGGTTTTTCTATAATGCGGTAACAGACAGACAGACAGACAAAAATTCTAAAACTGTAGATTCGGCCTGTGTATCGAAAATATAAGATATATATTTATAAATATAATAAAAAATAAGATTTTCCAAAAAATATTTAATGTGCAGATTAGGCTTTTGGATTACAATTTTATTATATGTATAGATTATATAACGTACATTTATGCTATAAATAACGCCTCTACTTTATAAGAATACGTCTATCTATTTCGATCAACCTTATTTTCGAGATACTCGTATTTTTTCGACGCCCCTTTGATAATTACAGGACATTATACTAACTAAGGTGGGATTTTTTGAAACGTATATTTAAATAATTTTCTTAGTATTAAGCGTAAGCAGAATTTTTTTCTTAATCACTCACTCAGCAAGGCAACATTCGACAGTGTAGTAGCAAAGAAAAGCCGTATTTTCACATAGACCGTAATGTTACTATACTATTATTAACATTTTAAAAATCAACTCCAAATAATTTTGACATTAAATTAACTTAGTATTTTGTGACAAGATAGTAATATAAGTAATTTATCAACTTATTAATTTGTATAAATACGATGTAACTTAAGAGATCATAAGTTGTACTAAGTTCTAGTTGTACTAATTGACCCAAAAAGTTAAGAAAATTATAAAAACTTTTATATTTCAACTCTCGTAAACTTTTGGCAATACTTGTTGTAACATCAAAATGATCATAATTAAAATTATTTAATTACATTACATCGTCACTTATAAATATAATATCATTTACGATGGTCAAACAAGCTTAATATATGAATGTAATTAAAAATTATGAAAATATAAACTCAAACTTAAACTTAACATAATAAATATTAATAATGATTAATGACACAGATAATTTTGCTAGGTCAGTAATTTGAAATTGATTAGACACCTGATATAATGTTTCAATAATAGTAACCAATGACTGGTATATGCATTAAACTATTTTAATAATGAAACAAGCCTAAGATCTATAAAAATACAATAAGTCAAATCATTTCGAGGTCAGCAATGTATTTCAATATTTTAGTGTGTGATTTATCATTCTAGTCAAAAGAATTCTTGCCCGCCAAATAGCAACTCTCTCTTAGCATTACTCGTGAACACTTAACATTCAATACATAATTAATATTGACGTTCATTTAAATGCGTACGTAATTTTAATGTTTAAATTGCACTAACTTAGTCTTTAAAGCTTTATAATTATAAAAATGTATTAACCTCTAAGTTAAACACTTGTACACATATGTAGATATAGATCAAGGAGATCAAAACGATCGCAACTAACTTATTTATTACTTAAATACAAATTACAACATAAGCCATAAAAAGTTTAAAATTAGTCAGTTTTTTCTCGTTAAGCATTTCCGTAGCTCGAACCGTTATTTATATCCAGTAGTAGGTACTTGTTGTTGTACGAAATTGTAATGTACTGATAAGTTACGTAACGTTTATAGTTAAAGTAATTAAAAGATTATTTATCACGGAATTAAGTACCAAGCAAATACTTCAGAAATATATCTAATTATTAATTATATACAACAACATACATATATAGAGTAGTACCTAAATTTGTAAGCAATACAGCATATTTAATTTAAATACTTTCCTGCGTTTTTATTCGACTAAATTAAGAAAAACAATCGGCTTGGACCAGTAACATAGTGGTGGGTGGGACCATCATATAAAGATTCAATCTTAGATAAGGAGATTAGAAAGAATTTTTACCATAGGCGTCTGTCTAACTGATTAGAGAAACGCTGAATCAGAAGCCGTCACCAACTGGATTATTTCATAATACGATTAATTTATTTAACACTGCTTATAACGTCTTTTTTTACTTTATATTTGAAAATAGTAAATTTATAAAATGTAGATAACAATAATTGTACTCATGTTTTATGAGTTTGGCAAATGATTGATTTATGTTACTTAATTTTTGTACTGATCAGCGGAATTTATACGGGTCTAGTTAAGATAAAATACGATAATGGCACTGCCTAAGTAAATAAGAAGACGAAATAAGTAAATATACAAAAATAACATCTGCTATTATTTAATTTAAAATGGCCTTTACCGTCTATTCTTTCGTATTTTATCATTACCTTTCAAATATACTTAAAATTTTATTCTAAGAGTATAATTATAACTTTATCATTTCTTAATTTCAATTAGGTTCAAAAAATTTCATAATAAACTGTAAAATTTTTTGGTTGTACGATGATAAAAAAGCAAAGTGAGAGGTTCAATGCTTAATATAGGTTAACACTCAATATGCAGATCGTAGGCAGATTGTGTCGTTCTTCAAGTATCAAAACGGTCGAAATACCCACGTTGTAACGTATATGATTGTTATCGTATCTTTATAGCGCTGAATGAAAGTGAAATTGTTTATGTATTCATATTACCATTATTTAATTTACAATTTTACGTAAATATTTTAGTTTTTAACATATCACAGTATACACTATACATAAAGGTACACTTATCTTGATATGCCGCTACTCTTTGAACTAATCATACTAAAGATAACTTTTCTTCTATCTCTTACTTTCATTTTCCACAAAAGTTGCCCTACTGAAAACTATTGTGACGATAAAAACGTTCATTACATATGTAACATTTCCAGGAATAAGCTTGGTCTTTGCTTGCTATATATAATATGTATGTATATATTATAGAAATTTATAGATTATAAATGGCTGGCCTGGAACGGTTAAGAATATGAAAAGCCTGCAGTGTGGTATATGTGGTATAAGAGATGGATATTAAAAACCAAAGTCCTTCGTTATGCTTGTTCTATGTCTATTCCCAACAGTACTATCGAACGCACCATTAGGTGTTTTAAAAAGTTCTATATTATATATATTATAGTTCTATATTACATTTTAATATATATGGTTTCGAGTAAATTACTAACTTTAGTAAGCTTCAATGTACCTACCACCTAAGTAGAGCGCTATTTTGAAAGGCACGACTTACGATTATTGTGTCTAGCGCGTGCATGTGATTAAATTGTTAATGTTTATGGACCTTAATTATTAAAAAGTAAAAAAAATATTTATGTTTACAAACAGTAACTTATAGAGGCAAACAGTTTTTCATATTACAGTTAAGACGTTCCCTATCCCTCAACTATCTCTTAATCATTTACTCAGTTTATTCTATCTCGTTTCTTAATTTTTATTTATTATTTTTAAACATTAAAATACCATTTCATATACAATTTGTCTTTTTTATATTTTATTGTTAAACATAAGATATTCTTACATCTTCACGGTCTAATTGTAAGCCATTCTAAGTGCGATAAAACAATCTAATACGAAGTTTCGATTAAAACCGCTTTAGAGTAGACTACTCTACCACGATACGATATAATGTAACTACAATATTTTTATTGCCGTATAGATTAATAAATAAGAATAAAATTTATCTAATATATTCGTTGCACTTATCATATACCTTTAACAAAAAAAAATTACATTATTTTACTATAAGGGTAATTTTCCAAAAAATATTCTTTTCCTGTACATTTTTGTTCATTTTCATTTTTAATATATTTCTTATTTAATTTCTCAAGTTCTTACACATTTATAAGCAATAATTAAATTTTCTTTTTTTTAGTATATTATTATCAATTTTTTGTTGGTAAAATTCTCAAAACAACTGTACAAGGTCATTGGAATTTTACAATGTAGTGCACATTACTGTCGAGTGCTTTAAAATCACAATTACCACACTTCTCTCACAGATGCAATTTTCTACCAAATTAGAATTACCTTGAGAAGATATTTAACAGATACAGTTTACATTGATTACGCTTCTTTTGTTTTTTTGCTTCTATTCGTTGCGGCACGTTTTCTTAAATTGAAATCATGAAATAATAATATTCTAGTAATATAAAATTACATGTCTGATTCATCAACTCTAACACTGAAGAATTGGGCATAATGATTTAAAATGTTGAGAAATAGTGTTAGTCATAAATACAAGATACAGTTAAACTCCTATGTTTTTAAGATCCTATAATGTACGGAGCCCCTCACAACGTTGAGAGACGTTGACGTTGATTATTGCAGTAAGTGCGAGGCCTATTCGCACTTACCTACTTCAATAATAGAGTATGTAAACATTCTCGGTACGGTAACAAATAGGTCCGGTCAAATAAATTTTTACAAATTACATGTTTTTTACGCAAGATTTGAATAAAATAATTATAAATTACAATACTTAACCGACTCACTGATTAATCGCGAAATCTCAGAAAGTATAAATGCTACTAACTTGAAACTTAGCAAGTAGTTTCTTGATAATATGCAGGTATCCACTAAGAAAAGATTTTTAAAAATAGAAAGGGGTAAAAAAGACGTTAGAAGTCTGTATGAAAACCGTTATTTATGAAGTTGAGAGAGATCACTGACTAATATTGAAAATAATATTTCTAATAATAAATTACGAACGACTATT